TAATTTTAACCTAAATTTTGACTGGTTTTTCATCAGAAAACAGTTCTAAAGATGAAGAAAACTAGTCATTATGAGTAAACTAAGAAAAGCAGAAGAGATACTTAAACTTAATTTCATTTCACTTTAAAGAAAATACAGGAATTGCACTGACAATGAAAGTTCTTCAAAAGTTAAAAAAAATATAATAAAGAAAAATATCTTAAGAGGCATCTCAGAGAAACAGGCTGCCCAGCTTCACTGAAGTTCAATGGTAATTCCAGCACTAACTCTCCAATGTTTTTTCAAAGTTCCAAACCTAAGTCATTTGCCTGGATGCAATGCTACAAAGATATTGTACAATATAAGCATTTTTGATTAGTTAGTGTAAGCAAATGCTTCAACTACTCTCTTAAAATAGTTAATGTGAGGGACAATGTGAGCACAGAAGAAATAAAAATCAGTTTTCACTACTGTGATGGCACAAAACCAATGCAACATATGCAAAACCTGTGCGTGCAAGTATTTAAACTTGAGAGTGATTTTATCTGTACTATAACTTATACTGAGCTTCATTCACAATTTCATAAAGTTATCATGTTGAACTAAATTCAAAGCAGTCTCATCTGTCCATCATTAAACAGGGATGCTGTATCTAGTATAAATCTTGGTCAATTAATTGAGATTTTTAACACAAATAGACACTACCAAATTTTGGAGGTCCCATTTGGTGACAGGCTTGAAATACAAGAATCCTCATTGAATTGAACAGTGAGAGAAATTCATTAAACAACAAGGTATTCATTGATATTTGGTCAATATACACTGATAAATAATCATCAATAAATAAATCTTCAAGTAAATCAAGACTATGCCTCAGGTTCTTCTTGGTGATTAAGAGGGTAAGGAAATAGTACTGCTTAATACCTGAAACAAGTGCTACCTTTGTATCTCCTTTCAGCACAGTACTGTGCTCCTTTTAGCCTAACTATTTCCATCTCCTACTACTGCCTCTTTTAGAGACAAAAATATAGGCTCTCCATGAGTCTCCTAGAAGATACATAAACAAAACATTGTTACCAAAGAGTAGACAATGAAAAAACAGTAAATATGCCAAAATCAAGCAACGTTTCTAACATCTAAGCAAAATTTGAAGAGAAAGCAAGAATATTGAACTGTATGCCATGACCTTAAACTGGACAAAAGGCAATTTTCCATTGATGGTGACAACAAGCAACATTTGAGAGAAGCAGAGATCAGATCAGACCACCACAAATAAAGATAAGTAAGAGAGCATTTTGTCTAGATATGACTAACAATTTGGAGTTACAATTCAGCTGCCACTAGTACATATATCTCCTGGTTTGTAGGGTCTGCACAGAGATCAAGGTATAAACAAAAAAAACATGTTGGAGAGTCTGCTTTTAAAACAGCTTTTACCTTTTGTTCCAAGATCGGGTTTTGAGAACTTTCTAGGAGCAACAAATGGAGTCTATAAGAAGTCAAGTATTTCAGTCTAAGAAAGACTCTTTATCTTCTCAGGAATGACTCAGATGAGCATTATTACAATCTCAAGTCATTAAGAGCTGTGTTATTTCATAGGTGTTTGCTAAACTGGAAAGAACATCAGTGTTAGTCCCTTTGGCTCTCAAAGGCAGCTTTGTGATGAAGCAGAAATTTCCATAACTGTCAGCAGTAAGAAGAGAAGTTATTTAATTATTGTAATATGACTGTGGATAAAGATGGTAGCTTTCGTTGATTACATTTAATTGATTTGAAGATTCTGTATCATGGAAAAAGAAACACAAAACCAATTCTCATCAGTGGCATTTGTTATTAGTGGTCCATTCCTCTGAGAGGCTATTTGGACTAGTAAGTGAAGAAACAATGCAGCATCTTCATTTGATAGTCAATTAAGGAAAAAAGTTGTATGTGAAAAAACTGAAAGATGAAAATTTCCCAAATGAGAGAGTGGATGCTGACACTGCCCTTGGCTTGCCCAGTAGGCAAAATCCGGGAAGCAGCTGATCCAGTACAGACAATACCCCAGAAAGTAGGTGCAATATTGATACTCAGCATGAACTTCAGCATAACTGGGGAATGGGCAGATTAATTTCAGTTTTCTGACTCCCCAAAGCAACCACAGGATAATCATGAACAGACAAAATATTTGGATGATCACAAATATGAAAAATGAGAAATGTGGTGCAGCCACTTACGCATACTCCAAGAATATTACAGGATGAAAAGGCGAAATGACAGTATTTGGAAAAGATAGCCACATTTTTGTTATGTCTGAAATTCACAAAATATCAGATACAAATAATGTGTGTGGGATGTGATACAAAATTCTGAACATTTGTTCTTGGGCCTGTTAGCTGTTTGTGTATCATTACATAACCACTGACCCACACATGTGGCATGCTAAGTATTTTATTTTTTAGTGTACTAACTCTAAGGTTCCATGAAAAGTACGAATTTTTATGGAAAACACTTGTTTTTTAGATAGGAAAAAGAAATCAAATATAATATCCCAGTAACAACTCTTCCAAGCTTAAACTCGGTTCATTCCATTGCCTACTATGTGGATGTTTTGTTACTGAACACAGAAGGGCAAACAATCTCCTTCTGTTATGTAAGGCCCATTGTAATTCTCTTTTCTGCAGCAGGAAAATTGTGATACACAGCATGGGAATAGTGATGTTGACACACCAGAGGGAGCAAGTTTGCCTCATCCCCAACCCCTAAACAGGTTCCTTTTTCTGGAAAATTTTCGCAGAACATGAAGGTGAATCCCTTTGTACACAGAATTTTTCCCAAAGAAATTCTCGGTTTCTAATGGTCTACTGCTGCTGCCACAACTTAAACACACAGGCAAACTTTGCAGCTCATGCTATGAAAACTTCTCCACATTTTTTCTAACAGTCTTTGTTTGAATCTTCATTTTGAAAGAAGAGACCCTGAGGGACACTGCGAACTTGTGTCTTCACACCAAGAGCCTATTTCTACTATTTCCTTGTATATTCCTCATACAAACACCACAAATATAATTTATCTCATTTCAGCTTTTATTTGGGTATTTTTAAGTTAAGTTGCTCAAGTCCATTTTCCACCAATACAGACACTAAAAATTGAGATCAACATTTAAGGCAACATTAGCATCCATGCCAAGCTCAGTATGCAAACCGTATCCTCTAAGCACCACAGCATCCCAGAATTGTCACAGGTCCCCTACCTCCGTCACACATTCCCTTTCCGTTTTACCTCTGCTACCCCACACTGCACTCAGGAACTCCATTTAGATGCACATTCTCAAGTAAGACCTTGCCATTTTTTCAGATTTTATTTCTTATGAATTAGATTGTTGTTGCATAAAGTGATATGAGTGAGAGACGTTTCAGGGTGAAAGTATGCAGTTGACTTATGCTGCAACAACACAGAGAATTTTTTTTTTTTAAAATATATTTAACATCACCTTTCAATGACTTAGTACGAACATTATGTGTATTTTTTAGCCTTTTAGTAAAGGCTATATACATTGAGACTTGTTAGAATGACAATTTTGCTTTAAATTCTGATTTTTTTAGTGTTACTGTTGACAAGTGTTTGAGTTAAGGATGCTCAAGTGCAACTTCGATGTCAGAATATTTACAAGTATACAAAAGACCACATAGTTTTTAATACACCTACTATTCTTAATACAGAGTAAATAAGGATTTGTCTTGTGCCCATGGAATATTTCAACATGTGGGTTTTGCTCTTTTCTCTTTTACAGTAAAAGGAAAGGTTTTACTTTTCCTTAAGAAGTGTATTTATTACAAGATGGTTAGCATACATATATCACATAACATACAAGAGTTAAAATTAACTAGTTACAAAATAAGCAGTGGTATGTATATTTTCATATAACCTAAGAACACGATCAGTATTTTACAAAGTACATATAAAAGTACTTCATATACAAAGAAAAATACAAATGTGCAAACACCATTGTCACAGGTGGAAATTTCTCAATTGAAAAATGCTAGAAAAATCCTTCATATTTTTGTTTTGAAACTGCAAAGGCATTAAAAACAGCTGCATTTCCTATTGTGTGTGGTGAGAAATCTAGGTTCTTTCTGACAAAACACATTAGTTATAAAAAAACCCACAAAATTTAATAACTGAAAAATCTTGTAAGTATAGTCAGTTTGGTTAGGCTGACATTAAATTACAAGCAGAACGTCTGGAAAAATGAGAAAATAGTGAATCATATATACAGACCTTTTGTAGTATTAGTGTGCTATTTAACATATTAACATTTCAAAGTAAAAACAATGGCTTTGTTACCTACATATTCTACTCAATGTCCTCACTATTTGTAGACTGTAAAATTTCTACTAATTTGGGGCTATTAAAAATGTTTTGCCAGGATTTTAAGCAGAACAAACACAATTTCATCAAAAGTAAAAATCTATAAACAGTCTTCCAATTAATGTGCAAAAAAATGTTTAAAAAGTATCAAATCACAACACATCAAACTGGATTATGTACATATTTAATATCTGTAAATGTTGTTAACTAGCTAGTATTGTTCTGCTACAAATAACTTACCTCTGTCCTGCAAAATGTCTGCATTTTAAAGATTTCAGTGCAAGTGCTTGCTTCATTGTTTAGTGCATTATCATGTTCGTTACTTTTTATTTTACAGTGAGCAGAACAGCATATAAATTAACATATACAACTCACACATAAGAGATCTTTCTTCTACTGAATTCCTAGTTTGTTGTTCTCCATTTCTCCTGGATAGTGTTGGCCAGTTTTTTTTCATTTATCCCACTGTAATTGCAAACAGAATCCAAAATAAAAGTGCTATGGTCTTCAGATAATCCCTAGAATTTGAAATTCCATAACGACATTGCAGAAGCACTCAGCAGAGCACAAGATTAGAGAATGACCTGCACACTGAGAAGACACTTGAAAGTCACTTTTTGGTCTTTAAAAAATATCAACTGTCTATAAACATTGGCAACTTGATATGTATGTCACTGGACTCACAAGCTTTATTTACCTATTTGCTTTGAGGAATTGTAGACATGTTCCCTCTTATTTGTGACAAGCTTGGAAATAAGGACATTCTGCTTAAAAATCTAAATAAAGTAAAAATATGTTTCTTCTTGGAGGGAAGATTTCTACCAATTCCTTTGGACAGGTTTCCTAATAAGAATAGCTCTGAAATGAGAAAACTGGGTTTAGATGATAGTGCAAGTACAGCCCACTTTTATAGCTAGGAATTGTACTGAAGAAAGAGGGAATTCAGGATAAATGGATTATTATTTTTCCAAGTCCTCCCTGCAGAAAAAAAAAATAGCAGTTACAGTGGTTATAATTATTAAACAGAAAAGGAACTTTAGCGTATTTTGAACTTTAATGGCTGAAATGTAAGGAAGGCGGGTTTTCTGTCAGTAACATTCCAGAACTTCACTTCTTCCAGGAAGAGTTGCTTTTATCATGGAACACTTTTCCTTTCTAAGCATCTGAAATGCAGCTCTGGATCCTATCCATCCATTGTTGAGCGCTCTGTGCATCTTGGGCACAAAAATTATACACACGTTTATTTGTCTTCAACTGCAAAGGAAGAACAAGAACACGAAGACAAGTCAAGTTAACACATAGAAAAGGAAACTCACAAACTCTAAACTGTAATAATCAATGTGCTAACTGGGTGTGAATGTCACATCTTTGAACTGCTGCCGTTGAGAGTGATGCTGGCTGTGTAAAACCTTGCCTTGAGTTGATATGACAGCTCCTTCCCAGCTTACACTTTCCCAAAGGACTGAAAGCAGCAGGTTAAACACACCAAGGGAAGAAATTTCACATACAGATCAAGTAAAGACCAGATGTACTTACATCAAAAAATGCTTTTTCACTCGCATGTTTCGGGGCTCCAATTGTTGGAGAAGCAGGAATCACAGTTTCTACTTCTGCAAGGTCTATGTGTCCCTTACAGCTTGTATCCTCACCGGAGTCATAGTAGCGCAGCTGGGCCACAAGAGAGAAAGAAATCCAAATGTTATTTAGATGGACCATGGAGTGGTAAGGGTGGGAGGCATTGATAGAACTCTTACTCCCTGTATTTCAAGAATTTAAAATGATCAGCAAAAATTCAAGTGTAATTTTAGGTAATTATGAACGACATAGAAAACTCACATTTTCCTACACTGCACATAGTGGTTGAATGAAGTCTACTTTTCTTTTTTTTTTTTCTTCCTTGCAAAGATACTTCAGTATGAATTTTATTCACTCTGTAAACTGAGTTTCAACATGGAAGCAAGTTCCAAAAAAACCCAAAACCAAAAACCTGACAAAACCCCAACAAATTCCCATAAGTCCATGCAAACCAGTAACACAAACCTTCACAGCAAAGGTTAAACAACAGAATTCCAACTAAGATTGACCTGTATTACTTGTACATTTATGATATTCAGAAGGATATTTGGTTACACAAAAAATGAAAGTATTTTTCTCCTGCAAAATGAGCCTTCTCTCCTATATATCAGGAGGAATAATTACAATCAGCACTTTTGCTGATATTTTCCCACACTAATCTAAAAATTCTCAATCAGCATTTCAAAAGATGATTGTCTTTATCTATATTACATATTTTTAAGTGTATTGACTACAAAAAAGTAATATTTTTTAAACAAAAGCATGACATGAGTCTCAAAGGTTACAACCCCATTGTGTGGAATATTTGGCTCAATGAAGATTACTGCCTCATGACCCACCATTATTTGAAGCACCTGAGGCCACAAATTTCTACTGCAGAATTCTGGCACACACTGTAAATTGGATAAAAAGTTTAGACCAACAGATCTTTTCTGGTTTTGGTGCTCTTTGCTGTAACAATGATCGGGTGCAATATATATGAATAATTTTGCTACTATATTTATGTGACTATGACTAATCTAAAATACTCCTATATATGTCACCTGAAATGATTGTGAAATCAGGAACTTAGCATTTCAGGGTTTTTAGAAACAAAGATTTGAGATGAAATTTTAACCTATTTTAAGTAATTTACAAAATGCAAGCTCATTTCAGAGAGATCTGTGTTCCTGCTCTCCATACTAGACGTTTATACAGAGATTCCAGGTCAGGTTTCTCAAATATAGGCTACAAAAAGCCACTAAAAAGTCAAGTGAGGTAAATGGATTTTTCTGCTGAGGCAATTCAGATGATGATTTTCCACAGTAGATAATGCCCTTTCATTTGCAAAGAAAAATGCTCATGTTAAAGAGATTGAGGAACAAAGAGGCTACAAAATACACACTGAGCATACAATAATTTCTACAGATTCAACATGAATGCCTGAATTAAACTTGCTCAGTTGTGATATTAGCTCTCAGCATCACAACTGCACTCCAGGAGATACCTTCTAAGTTCTTCCCTCTAGTTCAAAAAGAGTTTTCAGTTCTTTTGGAAACCAAAGAGGTCATGTTAAAGGGCAAATTATGTTCACCCCTTAATTGCTTAATTATATTCTAGAGTTAGCAGTGCTTAAAAAGGTTGTTTGTAGTGCTTGTATAACACAAATCCCAGACCATGTCCTCAGGCACTACATGGTTTTTTTTCCCCTTAGCTATGAAGTAGGCAAAAAATGTTTGGGCCCAAACAAAAATGCATGACTTCCAGTCCAAGAAGTCTTTCAATGATTACATGCTAAATAGTTATCACTCTTTCAAAAACAGCAAAGTACTAAAACCCCTCTGTCCATGCAGAGTGCTGTATCAGCTACAAGATACACAAGATAAACACGAAGAGGTCTAGAATGATGCAACACACATCACATCTGAAAATAATCATTATTAGTACTGTTTGTAAAATCAATCCATACAAACCCAGTAAACAAACAAGTTGCAAACTAATAATAAAAGAAATCCATGAAAAGGTTTTTACCTGGTGTTTTGTCACATCCAGCACAAACCAGCGAGGTTTCCACCCTTTCAGCAAAGCCCCCCTTTTGTACAGCGTACCTTCAAAAGATCTGAAAGGTACAGAAAGTAAGAACGGCACGTGATTCCAGAACATGGATATGCTGATATACAAAGGCCCCAAAGTGGTTACATACATATTCAAACACGTCTTTTACTGCAGTAAAACTAATCAGTTTTAAAGCTGTAGTTTAGTTACTGGTAACTGTGATAGTCTGATAAATACTGCTTTGGTACTTTACATGCATTAAATGCACAGCTACAATTGCTTGTGACTTAATAAAAGGGAAGATGGAAAGATGCTGCTAAGAGACACAAGCCCACCAATCAAAACAACTCAGTGTAATGCAAACCACAAAGAAGGAATAAGGTAGTCACAAAGCACTCTGTGCCTATAATAATTTCATTTTTTCCTAAGGCAGAGATTTTACCAATCTAATAAAATATTCATGAGTACTCTATGATTATTCGGTTTACCTATTTTCATCATTCTTTGATGTGAAATGATTGTACAGCGTTGTTGTTCTTCTGTCCACTCCATTAGAGGGAGAGATGCTTGCACTCTGCTCCTCGCCCAGCCCACTGTCAGGTATTTCCAACAAAGACCTCTTTTGATAGGAATGTAGATTAGCTGACATCATCCCTGAGGAGCCAGAAGGATGTTTCCGGAGCTAAAAGAGATGAAAATAAAAGAAAAAAGGTAATGCAATGTGTCTGGCATTGTGAGACTGTCTCAACATTATACTGGTAATATGTGGTACAACATGTAAGTTGTGAATTATTATGAGGCCAAAAAAAAAAAATCTTCCTAATATAAGTCAGTGCTACTTCAGAGAAGAAGCCAGAGGGATGGCAATTCCATGCTCTTCTTAAGCAGAAGGGTTTACAAGGTGTGAGAAATTAGTATTTCAGAAAAGCCTAATGTATTCCAGTGATGTAACGTTGACTTCTATTTCCCTTGCTTTCTCAGAAGCATCTAGAACTAATCAGATATTTGGATACAATAAATTTCCCTAATTTCATGGGGAAGGAAGGGAGGGAATGAAAAGAGCACAGTTTCCAAGGGCTACATTATAGATTCATATAATTTTACTAGAATCTCAGTAACCTGGAAAAAGAGGGATCTTAAATTTGGTCTTAGTCTAAACAACAGCATTCTGGAGATAGAGTTCTTTGGGGTTCACTCTTAGCTACTCCATGTATCTGAGAATCCTTAAATGACAGCTAGGACAGGAGACTGACATCAGATACATTTATACTTGCATTTTACTTTCTGCTTCCAACTCAGTTAAAAAATATCCTCTGCTTTGCTAGGATGAAACTTCTTTCATCATGATTTTGTCTAGGATATGAAGTGAATGTGAATGACTGACAGACATAAAGCATCTTGCTTTGCTGACAGCAAAGGACAGATAACAAAGCAGTGCTGTGGACTAACCACTGCACGGAGTGGGGCAAATCTGAACAAGCACAGGAAGCTGAAGAGTTAGGGTACAGTCTTGAGCTGGTAATTATTGTGACAAGTTCATAGGGAAAGCTTAAAAAAAAAAAATCTAACGTTCCTAGTGCACACAGATAGCAAAGAGGACTTAGAAAATACTTATATTGTCAGCTATTCTTTTTTTACCACAGCCAAGAACTGGAAACACAAGCATGAATACTTCCCACCTTTACTTAGAAACTAATAATTCCATTTACTCATGGGAATATCTTCACTTATCTCTGAAAATATGTGATGTCCCTTTGGCTACTTTCAGGAAGTGAGCTTTTTTTGTACTTAAAAGATCTTTTAAATATATAAAATCATATATTTGTGTATTAGTAAAATACTCATGCTTGTTCATCCATATGCCTTAATCTACTCTGGAAAAGCAATTAGATAAATAGCACAAGTAGATAAATACATTTTCCTACGTGAAGGAATAAAAAGCCAGTATCATGGGTTAGAACAACACATTCAGTTTTTCAAAAGCAGTATTTTACTCCAAGAAATACAGTGATTTTGTCATTGCCCCAGGTAGCCTATACAGCAGGAATGGAATTATTCTATTGGATGAGCTCTTTTACTACTTACATTGTCTTGTCTGGTGTCATCCTTTAGATTCATTTTGACCCTTTCCCACAAAAGCTGCCACCTTTCTGGGCTCTGATTTAACTTACTTTCCAACCTTTCGATTTCCTGAAACAAATAACAAGGGTTTTCTCAAGGATAAACATTTCTAACTGATCACTTCCTGGCAATCATTTTTATACAACCGTCTTCTAGCCAACGTGTTTACACAGTGACCCTTCAGGCCATGTTGTCCAACAAAGTTCAAAAACCTCTGTCAAATGAGCTATAAAATGAAATCCACCGGACTCAGGAGTCAAAGGCAACCAAGTACAGCATCAGCCACATCATTCTTCTGGATGTCCCAGGTTGGGGGAGCCATTATGCTTTCAATTCTCTGCTAGTCCTCCTGAACACACAAAATTAACACCAATTGTCCCAACAGAAACACAACAATGATAAGATAGGCTGTGTTTTATAAAAAATATTTACAAAGAACAAATTCTGTGCTGTGACGCCAACATCGCACACTGCCAATGTTAACATTTACCCTGGTTTATAAAATGTGACACAAAGCTGTAATAAAAGAAGGAAATGAAACAGAAAGATTTATTCAATTTGGATGCCAAACTGTAACAACATGTTCTTGTTGTGGACCTTGGGAATATGACCTATGTTGATAACCTCTAGTTAGGGTTACTTCCTGCTAATAAGATAGTGCAAAGTTAAGTAAAAAGAGGCAATTTTATTAGTTTATGTTTACGTGTGAACACCCATTGATACATTTGTCATGACTTTGATGTGTGGTCCATATTCCTTGCCACGCTTCCTTTCTGCATTTTTATTTTCAACAACTGTATTGTTATGAAAATCTGATTATTAATGAAATAAAATTAAAAATTCAATTTTGCAAATTCAACTAAGAATTGATGATGGAATGAAAAATTGCCAAAGGGAGAGACTTTCCATACTATATAGAAGCCAATTAAATGCCAAGACATTTATTTTCAAAGTTGACAAAGTAAGTCTCTGCTCACTTCTAATCTACCTAATGATTAAAGTAGATTTCATAATATTCTCAAAGTCCTATTGTCTTTTTAATTGCTATTGACTGGAAGACAGAAAATTATTATATTTTTAAAGTAAGAAAACATTTTGACTATGAAATTAACTTCCAAACTAGATTTTAAACTCTTAAGTGAAAATAAAAAAGCCAAACTCTTCCTTGCTGAAGGTAAATTAGAAAACTCTGAAGTGAAATTAAATATAAGAAATGTGGTTTAACAGCAAGAATCAAACCAGAAGTTTTAAATTCTGGTAGTCAAAAGCCACACAAGCCACATAGGCTCTCTTCCTGCTAAAAAATAAAACCAGAATAGTTTTGTTTGGAGTCTCTTCACAGGTAGATACAAAAATAAGGAATGACGAACACAAGCCAGACTAAAGCCTTCTCTAGATTACTTGTTTCTCTTTCAAAGTTCTGAGTGTAAAATGCTTCTAGATGGGAGACATAAAACAGAAACAATTTACCACAGATTTCTTATGTTCAAAGGCTTTCCAAATTGCTGCAAAAGGATACAAGCTCTTTATTGCTAAAACTCAGGTTTTAATCTGATCATTCTCCTTCTGCCCTAGTCTTGACTCCTGAGCATGAGTCTTTTTTCTCTGCAGAATCTGGAAGTAACTGAAACTTGTTACTTAGCAACTGGGTCACATTCCTTCTTTTTTTGGCTCCACAGTGAGTAGTGATTCCAGAACTTAAAATGAAAAACTTTCAACAATCTCCTATATATAAATTTGAAAAGTTAGGAATAAATTCTCCTTTAATAAACCCCATGTAAAAAACCATACATGGCAATAAATCACTAAGATTTACTCTTGCCCCCTTCAGTTTTAAATTTTACTGAAAACATCGGATTTTTATTTTTTTCTTTCGTGTATGGACTACAAATAGATGCATTTCCTTGAAAGAAAAAAAAAATCCTTACATTTATCTCTCTGGTTCCTCTCCTGCTGCAGGTTTACAGAAGCATAAAGAAAGGTTACAACACATACAATTTTAAGAATATCCACTTTCTGCAATTAGCATTTACAAGTAATTAGCATCACTGTACCATTCAAAAGATCTGCTAAGTAACCTGCTTTGTAATATGTGAATGGTAGAGAGAGGAGTTAACTCTGCAGAAACTCCAGAACGATGGAGACTGATCATCTTCTTTGTATCCACAGCGTGTTGTGCACACACAAACCTATCTGGACAAAATCCTGCAGTGAACTGTCCTAACTGTGACAGAAACCCTTATTTTGGAAGTCCTTCCTCATCAGTATTGTCTCTTCAACTCCTGGGCCAAAAGGCTTCTGAGCCCACCAGCGGGGAGGTGCTGAATGTGTACCCAGTGACTCAGACGCTGCCTCTGTCAAGTGTTCAGACTTGTGAGTGCAACAAGTTGTACGTGGCCAGTTGTTCAATATTTGGAATAAACTTTTTGGTTCATGGTCTTGTTGGACAGATCAGCTTTTCTGGCATGTAACTGGAAGTCATAAAAGAGCTCACAATCAGAAGTGCCATTGTTATTCTTCTGCTGGTTATTCACTGACCTCTTTTACAGCTTTATTTCTTTATGGTGTGTATTTACAGCACAGTTAATTTCAGGACTGGTACCCTGAAGTGGCATTTTGGAGTTTGCCAGCCCCTCTCGGAGCAATCACCATCTAATGTTGTGATATAACTGACACACAGGTTCATCTCTCACAATTCTTAAAATCTGATCCACTCTTAGGAGAAGAGCATCATATTCTACCATGAAAATTCTGAACTAAGCCACTCAATAACTTCTCTGTTTCAGCTTTACATCCTGAAGAGCACTATCTAGTTTTTGATTGAAAAATATCTTTAGAACAAACAAATTTGGGCTTATCATTATAAACTAAGTGAGAATCAATCTTCCCCAGCAATTTACGATCTAAATATGGTCTCAGTTCAAACATTTTTTGGATACCAACACATTCTCAGTGGATTTATGATTAAAGAGAGGTCTTTCTCCTGCATCAGCAATAGCCCTAAATTAACAACTTGTTTTAAAAGAAAGTTCACTTTGCTTTTTAAACTTAGAAGAATATTTTTGTAACCTTTATACAACCTCTCCAAAGTTTTCCAAATGTTCTTTCCATTGCTATCTTTTATTACTATAATCTAATTCACAAATAACATTTAAACTCTATAAAACCTGACCCACATATCTTTAGAATATAATATGGCTGATTTCCCTGTTAGATGTCACTTTCTCACAGTTGTGCATATGGACAGTTTGGCATCTGCCCCAGGAGGAAATGCAGAAGAACATTGTTGCTGTATTCCTGATGTACTTCTGGCCTCCAGCTACCTGATAGGAAAGTTCTCTGTATTAAGCTGAACAATCCCTGACATGACCCCTGCTGACAGACTGTTCTTTCTTTGTGTTTGTGAAGTTACAAGTGCTAAGAAGTCAAGGGCAGTTTTACAGGAGATTGTTTTTTTTTTTCCACTGGGCATTGTTCCTGTGTTCGATCGATTATGATTGGAAGGAATAGACCAAGGAAATTCGAGGAATGTGCCAGAATAAAGCTAACTTTCTTTTAAAAGCAAGTCTGTCTTCAAGGACTCATCCATTCAGAAACTTCCTGCATTAAGACTTTGCTAAAAATCATCTTTGATTCAGGGGAATTCGGGGTCCCACAGCATATCCCAATTTTCCAAGCACTGCAATATCAGGCTCCATAAATCCAGCTTTAACACAAGGTAAAGTCTGCAAAGAGTTTTCAAAATAAAAACCTGCATACTGATGTGTATCTGGATATATATGTGGCTTGAAACAAAGGCTCCAGGAAGTGAATAATGCCCTTGTCATTTTCCTGCACCATCAATTAAGATGATAACCAAATGTTAGGACTGTTAATTAATTATAACCAACAAACAAACATTTAAGAGAAGACAGATGTTAAATCACTCTAAATAAGTACAGCAAATATCATGATACTGGGATAATTTTTCATTTTCTGATGAAGAAAGGACAAAACCTAAGCAGCATAAATGAGCCCAAACAAGAAAAAGCATCTGTTTCAAGTACCGAAATATTCTGAAGAATCTAAATTTACCAGTTTGGTTCCGGTAAACATGAATAAATTAAGAACAATCATGGAAAGCTTTTCGGAGAAATTTGGGCCAAGTTGTTCAGTTTATGTTTGTTTATCTGCCTCCCACTTGTTAAAAATCAACAAGTATCAGATTCTATTCTGATCTGTCTGGAAATCCAGGTCTCTGTTATTTTACCACACACCTACTTTAAAAGAGAGGTCAAGAAAGCAAGATTCAACATTTGCCCAAACGAAAATAACAGTTTCTTACAAAAGGCAACCTTAATTTTATTTTTTAAAACAGATAGGGAAAAAATGAATCCATGACTAGTTAGTAACTACAGTTGAAGCAAACTCCCAGAAAAGTGTTCATTCAGAACAACATAAACTTTGCAGGAAGTCTCATTAATTCCTAGAAAAAACCCACGATTTCTCAAGCTCAACCAGTCAGTTTTACTACACACCTGTTTTGACATCTATCATGATCCTTTTAATACAATATAAGGTAGCAAGTGAAAAGTAAAATTCATAAGCATAAGAGAACTTACTGTTCCATGTAACACACGTACTTACATTTAAAAGACTGGTGATGGCATCAGGTTGTATTTTTTTAACATCATCGTAACATGGCCATACTATTTTCCTCTTAGTCTGAGGGAGTGAACCATCTGCTTGGTCCGTTTCCTCTGAAACACTGCACTTTGCAGGTACCATGGTCCAATCATAAGAAGGACCTGTAGCCAAAATCTCTTCTACGTAATAATCCCACTTTTTGAGGCTGGACATATTTACATTTGGTTTCAGTGCCTATTTGAAACAAAGTGTTATTATAGTGACAGAAACAAAGCCTTTGAATTTCAGGCTTAGAATACCATACATGCATTTTTTGATTATTATAAATTGAACAGCATATTGCACTGGGTGAGTAGCGCTGCAGTTTGCTAATTTGCTAATTGGCTAACTGGCTCAGTCAGATCAAAACCAAAAATTAACAGGTTTGGCATATACACCACTCATTTTTATCTTTTATTTATCCAGGTGCCTTCCAAAAACTCTAATTCAGCACAAGTAGTTAGCACCCTCATAGTCTTTGTGCCTCCTGTTAAAGATGCAAAGGGCACCCAATAAAAATCACCCTTCAGTTTTTCTCAGCAGAAAATCCAAGGCTCTCTACCATCAGAGAAAGGAGACAGGCTGTGTAATGGAGGTGGATATGCCACTTGGAAAAACCACAGTAATACAAAGTAGGCAGCCAGAGACTTTGGGTCTTTCAGAGCAGTTTAGAACAGATCGCTGTATAAAAATGTGGGAGTTTCTATCAAATCATCAGTGATGGTCCTACAGAGAAAACAGATGTTTCTCTAAAACAGGGAGAGCTGAAATGCTTTGTATCCACTTTCTATTTACTGACTGATATCCTCCTGTTTTCTCCCTGTTCCCTCTTGCACCACCACGTTACTAGGTGAGGATAAATGTTTTGCTGACTGTAATAATGATCTGATGCAGATTCAAGACACCTTAAGGAAAATAATATTTTTATTTTCTTCTTCTTTCTAAATAAGGTCAGTCTTTATAGCAGATTTGAGTGCAAAGGATGCTAAGATAAAATGTGGTGAATAACTGGAGGAAAAAGGAAAACCAATGAACACCAACAAAAACATCAGTGGTGCCATGGCCTCAGAGGCAGTGGAGATGTCCTGTCATTATGTTTTCTGGTGGACAGACACACAAACAAATACTTTATTAGGGTGAATCTCACTGCCAAAGCAGGAGAGACTGGCACAGGAATGAATATCTGTGGGACATTGGATGGTAAGAACACCCTAAATCAGCCTTGTCTCCAGAACTCCAGTAAGAACAGCACCTTCTTCTTGCAGCTCTTGATATATGTTGACTTCTTACCTGGCTATTGCAGAATTCTACAATGGCGAGTGTACTGTGAATTTTGTGTCATTACTCAAGACACAGTCCAGTCTAGTGGACACACATTATCATATGAGACAGCAATATAGATAATGTGATTCAATCAGATTGTTATTAGAAGTGTCCCATTATGACTCTAAACTCAGTTCCCCTTGACTGTGATTTGGCCTACGTATTTTTTTTTTTAACAATACGTGTAAACTTTAAGATATTTTGTTCAATAATTCATATAATTAATGAAATCAAACAATGATCCTTATTTAGATCACCAGGGTGCACAGATGCATATTCCAGAATTTGGCCCTTTAAATGACATTTCCATGACTAAGATGACTGAGATGATCAGCCTATGAGACGTTGTTCCAATCAGTCAAGTAGTGTCAGTTTTGTCCACCAAATGCTTAATTCAGATCAGAACAATTATGATATCAAAATATACTCAAGGAATAACTCAAGATAATAAACCACCTGTACTTTAAAAAAATCATACCTCCATCTCAGCAGGGGCATAGAGGTAATTGAAGAAAATAGGGCTCCTTTTGTGCATCTTTTCAATACATTCCCAAATACAGATTCCTTTTTTGGCATGTTTATCTCCTTTATCTTCAAACAGTGTCCCTAAGGAAAATAAGAGCAGCAAAAAGATAGTTTTATGATAATATAACAAATGCTAAAGCACAGCCTAAAGGAATTTCAGAGAGAAAAGGTATGGTCAAATCTACTATCAAAGGCCGCTGCAACGAGAAATTGTATTTGCTGAAACAACTGCTGTGATTTGCAACTGCAACTACTCAGTATGGTTATATATCTATAAGCCTGTTACAAAATTTACTGAGATATTGAGTGTGTTTCTGAATGTCCCTTTCTGCCTGCAGCTATGCTGACTCAGCAGAGCACCAACTCCACAATCCATACTGGAAGGAACCACAGGAGGTCATTGACTCCAACTCCTTGCTTTTGTTAAAATGAAGGTAAATAATAGAAATTAACTCTTTTTGTTGAAGTAAAATGCTTGCTCAAATCTAGTCCGTCCCCAGGTACAACAGGTTTTAAGAAAAGCATTACAATTGCCCAAGTGACCACGAGAACCAGCCCACAAAGCAGAGGAATTCGGAGCACATGTTTAGAGAACAAGTTCCAAGAACAGCCTCGACTCTGGTTGTGTGGGCTTATTAAGAGGGTAGATAAGGCTTTGGAACCAGTAAGGTTGCACAAGACAAATGGAGTAAAAAAGAAAATACAAAAAGAGAAACACTGAAGAGAATGCAGGGGAAAGAAGTGAGAGGTAATAGATGGAAAGGTTTTCTTTCTTGAAACTTCATGCACACTGAAGGATTCCCAAGGACTTTGTTTCTGTTAAAAGAAGGTATTTAGCAGGGGAAACAGAATTATGTGGATAAATTGCTGAAAACCACTGAGGCATGGGCACTAATTTCTTCCAATTTCTCTTAGTCCCATCAGTGGTATGGCTCAGGAGTCACTGATGCAGAAAATTCTACATGCTCTTCACCTCCATTTTTTTTGTATACCTGAAATGTAATTCATTACATCATCACCATGCAACTACTGCACCACCTTAAACCAGGCAAACTTTTGTAAATCAAACAGAGGAGAAAAACACCAACAACTACAAAACCAATATGCAATAAACAAACATTACACATACCATGTTCTAGTCTTTCATAGTCTGAATCCAGAAGAAATGTTTTAAATCGATTTGATATGTGATGAAAAGCCAGAAACTTCAGGTAATATTGATTGAACTCAAACTCTGTCGGATATTGGTTATGAATCTAAAAAAATTAAAAAAAAAAAAAAAAAAGGAAAAAATGTATATTGAGGCATAATACAAATAGATATGTATGAAATAATAAAGTGAAATGACAGCAAAATAATTCCTCTGTGAAAGCTGAAAAAGAATGGATCCATAAACATTTTGTCTAAAAATATTTCAAGCTAATTAAATTAATGTATTGTCTATGCTGCTGAAACATTTCAGAACAGGGCGTACTGTATAATAGGCAGTATTACACTCTGTACAAACCCCAGGATTCTTCAAAGGAATCAAACTGGATATAAATTTTCAGTGATGACTCTTGAGACACCACGTAACTTCACAGGCAAAGATGCTACTCCTGGATGTGGCTGGAAATCAAGCTTTAGTTGGAAGGTTTTGCAGTGGATTTCTTGCTATTGCTCAGAACCCCACACAGCAAACATGTACAGAGACAGTGCTGCGAGTGATATTCCATCTACCACTCCTGAGACAGCTGATTTCTCAAGTACTGTCTAGTCTACACATATTTCTTCCTTTGCAAAATTTGACCCAAAACATTACATTATGAAAAACCTCTCACACTGAGCAGCTGCCTTGCCATTATTCTTTTAAAACAGTAAAAGGTAACACCTTTAAATTGTTATCCTCCTTAGGCTGGGTATCTATCTAATTCAGTGAATGTCTCCAATAGAGTCAGGAGCAAATACTTAAGAAAATTATACAAGATCATCAGAGTACAGCACTGTGGGATAGCTGATTCTTCACAACTGCTTCCTCTTTAACATTATCATAAAGACCCCAGTTTAAGATTTTTTACATATGAAGTTTAATATTCATGGCAAAAGTTTTTAGCACTACTTATTGACATTCATACTTGATATCCACATAAACTGAAAGATTCTAAAAATGTTGATGAGATACTGCTCAGAGAAATTTCATGTTAATTTAAAATTTAAAAATTACTCTTTAAAAAAATTTATGACTCATGATCCTTATTTTCAGAATTAAACACAGTAATTAATTGGAAATTTTAAGTACAGAGGAAATATGTACAGCTTGCAATTGAAAAAGAAATAGCTGATTGAATTTCACAGTTTAAATATGTCCCACTGTGCTTCATCTAGCTTCACATCAAACCTGTAAAATGCCTTTAGTTCTGCAATCTTCCCATGACTTTTCTTTTTCATTTCTACCACTCATTTTCCCAATCCATGTTTTCTATCTAATCTCTACTTATCAGTTACTCAGTGGAGAAATGGGTTTTTTCAGTATTTATGGAACATGTATTAGGCTACTTGAAGCTCTTTAAGTTTAGATTTTGTCATGTACCAACTGAAAAAACCCCAACCAGCTAAATAAAGGGAAAGAAAAGTGTTTAGCAAGGAAAGGTTTTCTATCAGTGACAGGAAAATCCCTTTAAAGGACATAAAAACACATCCACAGCATTTCAGTCAGAGAATCTGTTGCTCTCATATCTCAGTATTTAGCTGGGGGCTAGGTATTTAAAATGCTAAAATACTTTAAGGTGTCTCAGTTCAACATAACCACACTGATTTTACCCCCACTTCTCCCCTCGTACAAATGACTACATTCCCGCACTGATTTGTAAGAACAAAGTTAAGTAGAAATTTTTTCTATAATAAATTCAAGGCTTCCACTTCATAGACAAAGTAACATTGTAGTTCTCTTAAAAAAAAAAAAATTTCTGCCACATATTAAATTAAAATATAATTCAAGTATACTAATTCTGCTCAAAAATTGCTGCTGGGCAGAAATCCAAAAAAGCTCTGCACGTGTGCGCATTTGGACACACACATACAAGTACTTCAGAACACATTTTCTCCTTGTGTTAGGAGAAGTTTTCTTTAATATACTGTAAGAAGGAAAGGTGATATTCTGCTAGTTTAAATGATTTATACATGGTCTTAATTTCTACTTATGGCCCAATAATTATTTTAATACATATAAGAGCTACAAGAAAAAACTGCTTGTAAAATCCTGTCATGGATCTAAGTGTTGTGGGTGATCCCATTTATAAGATTTCTGGAACTAGAAGCAATTAGAATTTACTATAATACAATTTACTTTTTAGGAGAAAACAACTATACGACATATCTTTGATAAAGGCTAATGATGTAGTCACTGATATTGTCTGTGTTTTAATGGTTGGGGCTGATTTCAGAGCACTTGGAGATTGGGAAAGATTCCACGGTTAGGTGAAGTGAATACTATTACTGCTCATTGTTTACCTGCAGTGCAGTTAAACTGAGCTATGAGAGATAAAAGCTGCTGATAATACAAAGCTCCAGCATCAGAGATGATAAATTAGAAATTTAACATAGAAGAAAATAATTGTGTTAATTTATGCAATTAAAAGTAAATACAAAAGAGATATTTTTATTACTGTAGACAAAATAACCACTTAGGTTGAGGTTAAATATAGCTGATTCTTCTCTGATAATATTTTGGTGGCATTTCAGTTAATTAATTGATTTTAAGGGATATGCTCAAATTTTACATGTAAATTACAAGCAATGTTTTATACTTTATAATTTCAATACTTAACACCTAGAAAGATAAATCTACAGGGACAAGGTAACATTATTTTTAAAAATGCTTAATCTGCATAATATATGAACATTTAAAACCTGATTAGCCCTACAGGTATTTCTAATATTATGATTAAAGAAACTCAATATTTTAGAATTCTTTTCAAAATCATCAGTTTCTACTGAAGTATTTTCTAAATGTATTTAAAAACCTTACACATTTATCAGCCTTCTTTAGTTTTCCAATACTTCTATCAACCTTTCTTAGTTTTCCAAAGCATTCTGTTTTTCTAAATTCCATTACATATCAATATTTACTTAGTATAAATGAGAAATACAGTACTCCAAATGTCCTGTACTAGTAATCACTACCAGGCTACTCCTGCAAACACTGGAATATCTGAATATATCTACCATGGGAGTAGCACACTCACCTCCTCTTACACAGGCTGCTGTAACAGAGCTCCTTTTTGAGCTTAAAAGAAGTCAGCTCTAGAAAATCATCCTGTTTTAATTATATTTAACAAATTACCAAATAGATAAAGAAGAAAAATAAGAAAAGCTTCCTCACTGACATCACTTGCATAATCTCAGTCTCCTTAGAAGCAGAGAAAGTATGTGCCAGATGCTGCTATTGTGAAAGACTGATTTTGCATTAATAATTCAGCTGACACCTGGAGATATTGGCATAAACAATGACTTTTTATAAGATGATGCAGTTCTAATTTAGGAATCACTGCTTCATTTGTTTTCTCTGTATCTTTAGTTTAACTCATGACATTTAATGCATGTAATGGTTCTCTGGCAACTTTCTGACTGTACCTCATATATGGAGACTAATGGTTAAAAATATTTTGAAAGGATCAGATGTTTATTTCCAGTTAATAGGCAGTTTTAAAAAACTGATCATAATATATTACACTTTAGGGTCAAGTTGCAATCTTAACTGGGTTCTGTAGTTGTCTAAGAAGTTGCACAGAAACCAGTGAAGCTTAACAAAAATTTTCAAGTACAAATGCTTAGTAAATTTATTTTTTACAGTGAATTCCTATGAAATTTCAACCATTAATTTTACTCCAAAATAATTTCCCTAGAATTTACAACCATACTGCTACAAGTTGGTAAGTCAATACTATGCCATCATGAGTTAGAAGACTAATCTTCATAAGTTTGGCTTTAGAAAACTTACTCAGAATTGCATTCTCAATGGGATTCTAAGTAATTTATCTTAGAGATTTTTTTTTTCTAGTAGCAAACTAGTCTAAATTATTTCTATTACAGTGATTATGCAGTAAAGCTGTGTTCCCATGCCATGCCTTGGATAAAGACAACACCGGGTAAAAACACTATAACCCCTACTCAGCCCCATCTTTCCTCACATGAAGTTACTGCCTCCTTCAGATCGAGCTGCTGCACTGCTTCTAATGGTCTTTTCTACCAAACCTTTTCTGTCATTTTGGCTGGAAAAGGCAGGCAGGGTCACGTGAACCCCTCAGGTGACAGACTGGAAGGGAGCAGCAGTGATGAACAGCTCCAGATGGCCTGCAGGAGGTAATCCTCCTGCTGACACTGCTGCACGTGCCAGGGCACGTGGACACAGCCCAAACTCACAGGCCAGAAAACACAGATCTTTCTGTAAAACGTATCTGTTAATAACCTGTACACTTTCTAATGCCTCAGAAGGATAGAGAAGAGTCAGATGTCCGTGACATGCATCAAAGCTGCTGTCTGAGATGAACTACAAAGGCAATGCTCTTCCGTTTCCCTGACACATTCACATTTCAAGGAGCAGTATTTTAGGCACCTTGCAGCCTGAGGCAAAATCATACCTGACAGTTGTTAACATCAGGGATTTATCCCACTTTACATTTCATCCTAATTTTTAAAGCTGGGATGATTATAACCCACTATTACATGTTCCTAGAGCTGCAGACTGTGTTAAACATAATTTCAAGAGAAAAGAAGAATTCTGCCATGAAGTAAACATGGTAAATTCTATTTCATGACAATCAGACAAAATTATTGAATTGAATTTTTAACTTTGTTTCGGATATCCCATTTGTTTCAAAGTTTATGTGATCTCTGGACTCAAGAAAAAAACTACTATACCGGTATGCATGGATAATTTCCTTGCTTTTTTTTATGCCAACTTTTTAAGATTTATTACAGTAGAACTGGAGCAAAGTGTTTCCAGGGTCAGAAAGAGGATGTAGGCATCAACAAATGGTAAGGGGAGATGCTGGACAGATTCACTTTGAAATTATACTACTACTTAAAATCAAATGTAGGTCCACTCCACTCTACTCAGAGTTATCCAGTCAGCTAATTTAAGCTTAGAGAAGACACCCAACAGCAGAGAGAATACAACACCATGATCAAAATGTATGATTTACGCACAGAATTGAACAAATCACCAGGTAGATGGGTTTCAGTATTGAAAGATGTGGCTATTTTGTCCTGCTGTAGCCATTGCAATCAAGAATATATTTTTTCTATTTCAGAAAGGGAGCAACAACCCTAAGCCTATTGGAAGAAATAACCGGTGTGACAATTGGGCAGATTAAGAATGAAAAATGCAGCACTGATTCTTTTTAGAGAAATCTCCCTATTTCAAATAAAAACAAACCTGAGGACCACAACCATCTGGAAAGAGAATGATGGAAAAGGATATGTGACAAATACTTCTAAGGTTTCCTTAAGGGGAATGCTGTAGGAATCAATCCAAATTCCAAGATTATGATTCATTAACTTCCAAGACAGCAATATTGATGACTGCTGGTGTTTAACATTGGGATGCAAATGAAGTTTTCCTTTTCAGTAACATGTTCTTCAGTAAGTCTTTACTCATCTTCTTATAAGCTCATTCATTATCAATCTGACACATATCTGAAGATTGTTTTACATTAGTTTAGCCAGTTATTTGGTCTGTGGAGTTTGCTTCAGATAGCAGAGTAAGTCTACTTGCTGACTTTCTCTTTTCGCTCTACTTCATACAAGCATTCACTATGAACGTGTCTTCCCAGTAAGAAGGCTGATGCTTCAACAGTTATCTTCTGTGAGACACAGTCATCCATAAATCTTAATACAGGTAAATAATGTCAAGCAGACTTTCAGCTTTTCCAGTGAGAAAGATGAGAGAAGTGGGAAAAGAAGGACACATGGACTTCCTCCACAACACAATTGTTGGTGTCCCTCTTCTTCTGAACGTGTACTACATAAATAAATCAGAACATCTCAGGACCCCTGGTTTATGGCTATCATTGTTTCCAGATTTAATGAAGTACATGGCCTCTTCAAGGCTCATCATCAGCACAAGGAATTAAAAAATGTCTAGTCACTGTACTAAAAATCAGTCAATTCCTTCTTCTGAATAAAGATGTTTTTAAGCTAAGACTGCCAAAAGCCAGTCAATAAAACCTAGAGAAGGACATTACCAGCCTTCTCAAACCCTTATCAACGGCATCTAAAATACTGGCAATATACACATTTCTTCATGAATCCTTCTTGTAAATCAAAGTTAGATAGAGGTTGACTTACCTGATGCACACAGTCTAAGAACTGTAAGAAAACAGGAGCAAATCCACTACCCTGACAATTGAGAGTCAGATTACTACGTTGACTGAATTTATGACCAAAAGAGAGCCATTCTTTTTCCACCAGCATTCGGAAGCCTTCAAGTGTCCTATAGAAGGGATCACTGAGCAACTGCACCAGAGACACCACCTGGATCACAAGACAGCATATATTGTGTTAAGAGTGACAGAAGTTAGGAGAAGCCTTTAGTAAATGAATATAAACATTCAAAAATCTGTTTATCGTTCAAGAAAACAAAAGCTTTCATATAAGCTCAATGACAAGTATTTTTTCACATACATGAAGTATTTTTTTAAAACAAGCCAAATAATATCTCACATGAAAAAGCTTCAATTAAACCGAGGCTTTACGATATCAGTTAGAAGTCAAACCTAAGCAACTACAGACTGGGGAAGTCATCACAATGATTACAACATTTAATGACATTTGAAATAAAAACACTTCTATAATAAACATTTTTAAGACAGTATCTGCTATCTCAGCAACAAGAGCATTAAAGAATTGGTCCTGAGCGTGATTTTAGATGAGGCGTTGGGTCTTCACTCACTTAATTTATAGCTTGTGGTGATCTGTCCTTGCAGCAGGTGTTACAGTCACTTTGGCACAAATTCAGTTTTCTCCCTGTGTGTGGTCTCCTCACTCCATTTATGGAGTGAATGGAAGAGGATTAATTTCTTCTGTGTTTAGAGTGTCATATGTTTAAAAAGATAAACGAACAGTTGTGGCAACTTTTAGCTTTCCTTCTTACATACGGTCAGGTGCAGGAATGCAGATTTTATATCTAAACCTTAGAATTGTTAAGTGTATCAGGACCTTCGGAACAAATTCATTTTAAGGAACTATTTCATGGTGTAAATTGCAAATGAATGCAAGGATTCATGCATTCTAGTTTCTTCTCTGCTGCCACAACACAAATTTATCAGTGTTACAGCAAATTATCTGTCACTTGTGTAAAACAGCAATGCCTGGTGTTTTTTCTTAATATTTAGCTATTTCAAGGTTTTAAAAGCATCTTACTTGTGCAGTAATATCCCAGCCATCTTCCAAACAAACCATAACAGAAGAACCATTTTCCAGGAGTTCAGAGATGATCACACCCAGTTGCATTATCCTGTGAAGCTATAAAGCATTATGAATGAGTAATGTACTCAAGCATAAGAAAAATTTCTAGGTAATATCAATAACTAGAATATTTTAGCATTTAATATTTAAAAAGGTGTTCTGAGATTTACATACAGCACAGAGAAGGACATTGATGCAACTGATTAGACAACAATAAAATGTAGCCGTCTAAGAATTTCCACCTGAACTACAATAAAACTAAGGAAATTTTTGAAGATAGGAACTTAAACTATTAAAGCCAATAAGTACTGTAATAAAATAGCTGTCATAAAAAGGAGAGAATGGCTGACAGATTTACCGTAGAGAAATTCCATCCTGGTCTGGGCTTAACACTAAAATAATTTCCTGTGAAATGTTAAGGTTCCATAAAGTCACTAACTACTTTGATGGAGAACCCATCAAAGATATTTACAAGAAAATATTTTTAATGCTCAGTTCTCATGGAAGTTGGAAATTAATGAACTGAAGAATAGTAACATTGTAATCAAACCACAAATGTAAAAATAGACCCAGAAGCAGTCCAGATAGTTGGGCAGACAGGTTAAAACATATGCAAAGAGGACACAATTAATTATTTGAACGTGATACTCATTATGCGGTGATGCTAAAATTCCTCGAGCAGGTGGGTTACTTAATTTCTCTGGAAGAGGTATTGACTTGAATGATGTAATTTCAAATGTGATAGGTATAAGCAGGTTAAAGAAATTCAGGTGAATCTGAGCCATTTTATCTTACAGTCAAGTTTCACATTATTACTACTAAAAGGAAAATCTGTATGACATTTCCATCATTGTTGTTGTACTGTGACAGCACTCTTGGTAAACAACATAGGAGATAATATATAAGCAATTCAGCTGTTTACAGTATTGCTCTTTGTGGAGCACTGAATATAACCAACCAACAGAAGCAGTGGGAAAGATGAAAGACTGCAAGAAGGAAAAAAACAGTATAGGAAGACAAATAAAAGATGGGATGAAACATCCAAGACCATTTATGCAATGAAAAAAGTAAGTTCAGAAATGGGCAGAAGCCATAGGAAAGTGGGAAGAAAATTAAACTGAAGAAAATAAGAGGAAAAAAGATAAACCAAACAAAGAGCTAAAGACTAGAAAATTCATCCTCGTTCAGGGCAGCCTGATTTTTTCCTCTTAAAACCCCACCAATCTGGTGAATATTACCATGGAAATTGTGATGGAAAAACCTTGACTCCTCTGAGCATTCAAACAGCTATTAATTTGGAAAAAAAACCCCTAAACAAATTTTGCTTCAATTTATTATACAAAACCACTGAAAAAAGCACCACTTTTACAACCACAAGCAGCTAGTTTATTGTTCTATACTTTCTCAGGCAGTAGAATAGAAGAAAGGCTGTTTTTTTCCCATTCTTAATGAAGAAACTTATATGCAATCTGGTTATACAGATTCAGTCTTAAAAATGCAAACCACACAGTTTTATAATTTGCATTCAGCAGATAGGGCAGCATTTCAAATTTCTTCTTGTGTATTCACATTCTTAAGAAGGGATAGTCCTTAAAGTGTTAAAATCAGTAACATTAAACTTCTATTGACCAGAAAAGGAAAGCATAATACAATAAAACCACATTTCCTAGGTGACAGATCTATGTTCTTTCACAGGAATAGTAGAAAATGTGCCAAATCATAAATTAACTTTATCACAGAAGTCACATATGACATGATTTAAAGCACGGAGATGTGGTTTAAGTGTCACACAGCTAGTGTGTGACATTATGATCTAGTCCTGAGCAAAGAGTGACACACTAAAAGCAAAGAGTGATCTTCTCAAACATACCAAAAGGGAGTAACTGCAGTGTTACCTCCCCTCGATCTCTGTGCTGCTAGAGGGACGTGTTTATTTCCTCAAAGTGACATTCAATTCATTTATCTACACTTAATCAACCCGCTCAACTCCTCTGCAACTGAAAATGTTCACACAGTGAGGGGGTCATGTCCTCATGCTCTTCCCACTTCTCCCCTTCCTGAAAAACATGGCCAGACACAGCCATGACCAGCTCCTTGCTCTCTATGGAGTGGCCACAGCTCAGGAAGAAGTTAAGCCACTTGTTGCACTACAGCACACTTCAACCAGGAGTGCATTTTCGAATGTGTAATTACTGAAATGACTGTGTTACTCACATGTATTTCCTCTTCAAAAAATCAGCATATAAAATTCCGTTTTCTATGATTAATTGCATTTGAGAAGAATATATACAGCAGTGGATTACAAACCTAACAAGCAACTGTTAAAAAACATTCACTGGAATTAAAGTGGTTTTAGATTTACAAAGATCTGGTTCTCCCTCATCGTTGGAATTTTGCAAAGTTTGTTCCAGTCTTGCCTTTGTTTGGTTAGTATTTATGTAAGGGAATATGGGACAGGGAAATAAAGGTACAGATTCAGAGAGATCAGATTAACACACATACAAATCCTCTCTTCTCCACAAGCACTTCCCATATCCCACAGCAGGCAACAGATGTTTGCTTATTTGTTTGTTAACTTGTGCATATCAAAATTCAGGGTGGGAACATATATGAAGAGTACCATATTGGTTTTAAAATAAAAAGGCTTATTTATCGTTCTTCACTTTTTTCCCTGATTTTAAAAATACATAAAATAAGAAAACCCAGCTAAAACAAGACTATAAATTTATATAGACAGAAAAACCAGTCACCTCTGCTTGTGCATGTGTTCCATGCTACAAAACGTAAATTATGTTATAAAAAATGCCTCCCAGATTTGTAACTGTTATGATTGTATTAAAATAATAATGCTTATGTAATGACAGAATTGATAGTATGCGAAGTAATTAAAATGAACAAAGAAGAACAGCTGGTTAGAACACAATAGCTCTCTGTCAGAAGAGCCTGAAATTTATCTTGTGTGAGCAGTACTGCATATAGATAATCAGAAGTATCTGTCATATAAATTACCTGTGGGAACCACTCTGACTCCCCAAGTGCTTTAAGGAATGTTGCCTCAGAATCGGTAGGAATTGTGCTGGGAACACAAGCTCTCATCAGCTTTTTAAAGCTTGCCTTTGTCTGTCGGATGTCACTGAATTCAACAGGAACAAATTCACAATTCAAAGCAAAATCAAGTTTGAACCCCTGTATGAAAAGGACAACAGCAGATGTAATTTAAAAGGGAAGCATATTTTTCACTGACAGACTCCTTAAATCCCAAAGCGTTGTCTGCTTTATTGCTAAATAATTCAATTCCTAAGTCACCTGCCCAGGACAATATAAATCCTTACACCACTTGGAAAACGTACCATAACAAAGTACCCTTCTACTACTCATTACAGCAGAATGTACTGCACAACAGTCATATTTCTACATAATAAATTTAGTAGTAATGCTAGTGAAAAACTAGAGTTGAGCGACAAATCCATTGAGTTCTTTATACACAACATAATGTGCTTCCTTCAGCATTTTTAAAGCAAATTAGCGATAAATAAATATTAAAATAACCGTATGGATGACATACCAACAGTGCAGGACAGATTCTGGGAGTTCAGTAAAGCAGAAAAACTCTCAAACCCAAAAAGAACCGTCATAACTGCAAACTAGCTGACTCATCTAAGCAGTCACTGCACACTGAGACAGTTGTTTGTCTGAAGTACCTAGTTCAGCACAGAACAGCAGTCAGAGAACACCAGATGGTTTTCCTAGCAGAATTCCTCTTGTTTTATTTAACTGACTGCATTTAGAGAGCATGCAATAAGAGAGGAGGACCAAATTAAGAAAACAAGCTAGTTAACCAAAAAAACCCCCAAACAATGGACTATGATGAAAAGGATAATATGGAGAACATTAACAGGAAAAACAATTCTCATGCATGAAGCATCACTGTTAATGCCAAACTTTTTGAGTTTTCTTCAGAAATTGCTCTTTCATTCAATTAAACTTGGCCTGCAAATAATCTTCATTAAGCTCCTTCACAGGATGCCAAGTGAAAATGCCATAAACGGAAAGCGCAGGTTTAATTTTGTTTGTATTTTGTCATGGTTCAAACCCAAATTTAATAACTCAACTAGCAAACTTGCTTTCTTGGAATGTAATAATGAATGACAAAAGCAATGAGATAAGTAGCACCACTGCCTTAAAATGTTGTACACTTCTGTTTGTATCATCAATTTATGTGACACGATATTTAGCAGAATAAAACAGGTTTTCATAGGAGGCTACATCTATAATGCATGCCCTTTACAAAGCTAAAACAATTCCTAGTTAGCAGGATGTTACAAAAAACTAGGAAAATACTTCACAATCAAAAATCAACAAGATTTCTTTATCCTAAAACAAAATTTGAATTGAATTTGTAGAATAGATACAAATCATTAACAGGTTTAAAACACTTAATCACTATGTAATTTTATTCTTACATTTGCTAACACAATACACTCTTCTTTAGAGATACCCAAAAATGACTAATCTTCTGCAAAATTGTGTTATTAAACAAAACAAAAAACCAAACAAGTGAAAACGCCCTGAGTTCTAAACCAGCAAGGAAATTATCCAGCATAATATAATGATCCTGCAAGTTTCCAAATTATATACATCCTACAGTACTTCAGAATACTTCATGCTGGTTTTGCCCAATGCTTGTTGCTGGTACATCCAACAGGTAGCTCTTTGCATATTTTGGATAATGATACACACCTGTATGGTAATATATTAAAAATGTTTCTATCTATACCAAGCACTAACATATTATCCCCAGCTGTTTGTGACTGCTGAAACATTAACCAGCTTCTGTTTGGCCTAAAAGGTCACTTCAGAGCAGCAGACTAAAGTAGTTTCTGCTACACAACTTTAGATTCGTGATAGAACTCTTCACCAATCATTCATTATGAAATAAAATAAACAGAAATATGAATAGTTCCTATTATTGGATTATGGCAATTTAATTTTGTGTAATTGATGCATTATTCTGGCACAGCATGATTCCTCCACCTCCCAACAGAACATAATTTCAGAGAGAATTGAATTCTGATGTATTTTCCTACTACCAGTAACTGTTTTTGAAGGTCATGTATTTCAAAAAATACATATGATTATATGTATGTTCACATTTTGATTGAGAAAGTAGAAGACAACTGATTTTTCAATCTCTGAATGCAGAGGCTTAAAAAAAAAACCTGCAATCATTTTCAGAAAACAAGTAAAACTACCAAGAATTCATGTAGAGAATACCTGTTTCTTAAGCACCTGCATCTAAAATAGTAAAATCTATCAGAAAACGTATATGAAACCGCAGATATCACGGTCCTCTTCATGTAATCAAATCAGGATGCTCAGAGTTCTATTCCCATCAATTTGGCTTAATATGAGTTTAAGTGTTGCCCACAGTAATGAAGGTTTCCTTCTCTGGTAATCACTTTCCTAATTTACAACATTCCATTTCCTTCATAGCGTATTTCAACACATCAGGAAAAATAAAATTGCACTTTAAATTACCAAATAAGCCTGTTTTCCCATTTCCCAAAACAGCAATCCCTGAGATGATGACTCAGCTGACCATCAGACAAGCAGTCAGCAGAGTCAGAGTACAGTAGTCTGTATGTAGGTGTGATTACGTGTGGCTCTGAAAGAAAGAACTTGTAAATGCAGAGCTCCAGCACTTCCTTTGGAATATGAATGGTATCTGGAAGGGGCAGCAAGCTCAACTGCTGCTGCACCAGTCCCACTCCATCTGCCTACAGTCCCACTATTCTTAATAAATATTACTGTTCAGCTTTATCCCAGCAGTGACACAGAGCAGAGCCCAGCTGTGCTGCCCTTGCTCCCTGCAAAGCCAAGGCAGGACAGCAGCTGAGACAGTGAAGACACAGTGCCTTCTGAATATGAAGGCTTTGCTGGATGCTCTGCTGCCCAGCAAGGTATTTCTTTCCTAGCCATCCTTTCCCAGTTCGAATGCTCTTACCTTGTACAAAAGCTGTTCCATTCCTCTCCAGTCATCTGTTGCCCATCTTTGCATCTCTTAGTTCAACTATACATTAATATTTGACCAAAAGTGACAAATAGAGTGCTATGACAGAACTTTTGTGGGTTTGAGCCTGATCTTTAACTGTTCTTCAAGATAATTTAGTATATTTTACGTTACCTTTGTTGTATTACATGACCACAGAGCCTGATTTTCACCACCCTAGCCCCCACTAAGTTATACAGCATTAAGTGCTATTCTGCATATAGAAATACTTCTCATAAGACTTTACACCTTTAGGAGAGCTATCCATCTGCCTTATCTAGAGAACTATTTACTGTTTTGTAATATTAGAGTTATTAAATTCAAGCCAAATAAAAACGATGTTAACATAAAATAAAAAAAAAAATTGCCATTACCCGTAACTGAGATTTTTCTCCAAATATATAGAGGGCTGCTTGTCTTCTCAAGAGCTGACTTTGCAGGAAACTGCTGCTACTGTAGGAAGGGGTGTTATCTTTCCCTGCAAGTCTTGCACCAACATCAATGAATGGAGTCTGAGTGTTGATAAATCGGTTGCTTGAACGAAGACTCGCCCATACACCTTCATAAGGATGAGAAATATTTAAAAACCTCTTTCTGTGAGGCACTGAAGATCATAATTATTAAGGCATATGCTTAACATAATTTGGAAGGTAGAGTGCTTAAACATGTCACGTGCACCCCTCACAGGACATAATTAACAGCACATACTGGAAAGAAATATTTTTGTAACAAAACTTGTCAAAACCATCCTACTGCATTGTCATGTAACCTAAGACTAATCAAGCTCTGCACCAGCATTTTCTATTGTAGAGAAAATAGTTGCTATAATATCAGTAATATAATGATAAAATTAATCAGACCTTGCAAATAATGTCTATTTAAGTGTACAGAAATGAAATTACTATTGTTGTTCTTTTCAGAAAGTGGGACAAAAGTTTGAAGTATTTCCTTGTCAGGTATATTATTCTGGAAGTCTAACTATTAAGAATATAATATAATTGCTTTCTCCAAAAATGAAAATAGTATCACTTAAAATTCCCTATTACTTAGAATTCTTATGTTCTTTTCACCCTACACAATGTAATAGTATCAACCACATCATACTCTAAGAAAATGTATGTGAGGATGATCAGTTCAAATATTACATTTCAGGATAAAGTATCCCATATTGACTCTTGAAATGCTGTGACTAAAATGTAGAATGCCCCAAATTTTAGTTTTTAATTGTCCTTTCTAATGGACAATTAGAAATCAAAATGAATTTAAGAAAGCTCTTTTAATTGCATTGTAGCAGATGGGACAGTGGTAAAGCCGTGTGAGTAGAGAGAAGGATGCCTACAAGATCACAGCCCTACAGTTCAAATCACTGCTCTGGCAGCAGGGTATGGTACAGAAATCCCAAAACTAGCAACAACATGAGCTTGAAACAGTGTGGTGTGATGTGGAACCATGGACTTGTGTCTGAAAGCAGCACAGCAGTATTTGAACGGTTTCACATCAACCTCTCAGCAGCACTTTTGGTTTGCATATCATGCGTTGCTGCTGCAGCCGTACTGCCATTTCCAGAGGAGGGAATCTCTACAGCACACAGACATGGTCTGATCTGATCATGCTTAAGTAAGTTTTGTGATTTTATCATGATAAAGCAGCAATAAATCAGATTGCCGAGGCCTGTTTAGCACTAGCAGGAGAAAAGACAAGTAGTAAATATTTTTCTGTTTCTTGTGGCTAAGTTATTAACCAGGATTTTGTGAGATCGTCCTTGTGTGTCTACTCTGAAGTATCTGAAAGGTACTGGGTTTTCACAATACAAACACCACTACTTGAAAAATCAAATTCCTTAAAGTGTACTAAATTTGGCGTTCAAATGGCAGTGTGAAATTCTTTAACCCAGTATGCACTGAATCAGATTATCAGAAGAGACTCTGTCCATAAATCTGCAAAGAAAGATATTGAAAAGAGGCACCAGAAATATCTCAGAGTAGTAGAAATTTAGATACTATAGGACCAACATCCCACACTCTGCAGGAAAATCCAATAATATGCATAATTGACATTTCTTGCATAGAAGAAAAAGCTGCAGATAACAGTAAATTCCACTGAGATAGCTCAACCAGCAAAATAATTTTATTCTATTTTTCAGAAGCAGGATTACATTTCTATTAAAAAACCAGTTCTGTACAGTAATCCTCAACAGGGACTTGTCTGTAGAGTTTAGCTTGTCTGCTGTCTGGCAGCTAGTCTGAGATGTGAGCAAAGGAATTGGAGTAACTGGGAATGACTGGCAGGAGCTCCTGAATCAGTAACAGCTCTAAACAGCTCCCACTTCACAGCCAGCCAGTTTTATAAACACCTCATGCAGTACTGTGTTTAGTATAAACTTTTGTTCCATGTCTCAACTACTGCAGATGAAATAATAAAGACTTTATCAAGCAGAATTCACAGCAAACATTTAATAAGAGAAGTAACTTCTCGTTCATTTGGTATGAAAAGTGCTAGCTCCAACACAGACTGCTGTCCCCAGAGATGACATACACAGAAATACACAGTGACACCTGGGAGGATTTCACAAAAGCAGCCATCATTAGCACCTGTAGCACACCACAGGCAACAAAACTGGTTATAAATACATGCAGATGAACATGCTTACCAGCGATGGACAGCATGGATTAAAAGGAACAATTATGTTTCTGTTCTAATTTTGTTTAGTAGCTTATTTTTTGTTAGCAGTATCTAGCATTCACTGTTTAGCATAGACTGCATTATTGTGATTTCATTAATACTGCATTATAATTGATTTGACAGAAATCAACTTTTCCCTGTTCACTAACATAAGAGTAATTATGGAAAGAAACTAATTGACTAAGTAACAGTATTTCTTAGCTATTTTACTAAAGGAATACTAAACACTCATTTCAAGAATTAGTTTTTTGCTCTTTAAAATTTTCACACAGAAAATTTTCTACCTATCACTCTGTGTTAGATCAGTGTCACTGCATCATACATGCAATGGCCAAAAAATTGCAAAACGAAATAAAGTCACAACACTGAGCTAAAAAATAAAAAATGTTGTTAATGCAGAATCAAGGTTGTCTGTCAGTATCACTTTAGAATGCATTAGGATATTGTAGCAGCTATGAAGATGGTAGAAAAGAATGTGCTTTTAGGACACAGAATACAGTACCTTGATGGACTCTTTCCTTAGTTGCTGATTTGGAATTTGAATGAGTGAAACATTTATCTCTGTACCCAAGCACTGGTAGATAACAGTTAAGACAGAAGGAGGAGGAATGGAATGCACATTGCAGCAAAACACATTGCAGGAGAAAAGAAAAGGGTTACTTATTAATTTCCAAAGATCTAGTATATATTGCATTTCTTTATAGTACATGATTTATCAGACAGCACAAATCTTAGTCATCACAAGACAAAACATCAATCAAGCCACAAAACCAATATAAAATGAGAAGGAAGCATCCATTTATCAAAAAGAAATAATTTTCATTGTCATTGCAATAGCTTCAAACGTAGCACAGCCATCATGTGCTTTTCCATAATTACAATACCAAAGGAAATGCAGTAATTAAATCATTCTGCTGAATACTTTATTGAAAGCTTCTATCCAGCTGAAAGCTAGATCAATTAAAAATTCCAAACTTAATGCCTTTAATAAAAAACCTGTTTTAGTCTAAGGGCATTAAGTGCATAATTAGATGGACCTCAAAATCAAAGCAGAGTGAAAGGCATTTGTTCTATGCATCTACAAACATTTTTAAAGGACTGTGTACAAGTATATAATTTAGAAAACATGTAATATTTACTATATAAAGAGATTTCCTCTCCCCTTGCAAAAATTCTCATTTTCTGTGGGAGCCTTTTATGTTTATCAGTGCACATATCTTTGGCTCAAAACTGACATCTACACAACCAAGTTCTTTTAAATCAAATATTCTGATAAAACATGCTTATGTCACCTGCTATTAAAGTAACTCTCTGAGCTGGGTCTGTATTTATTAATTATAAATATCCTAGTATTTTTCAATAGCAGCAAATCATACTTCGGAAAACTTTTTATTCTACTAAATTACACAACAACGCCAGGTAAGAAGTGCTGCTCTGTAGAGCCACACTATATTTATGAAGTAATATAAGAGGAAAAGCTATGGATTTTGAGTGAACTTGCAATTCTTATGAAAGATATCACTCAAGGTATTGCCAAAAAAGGTCCAAGAATGAAATATAATTAAATATAATATTATGAAATATAAGTATTTGAACAAATATTTCAGATCAAAACCAACCTGACTGGGCTTTGGGCAGATACTTTGTTACAATGTTCCAGATAAAGTAAAAAACCACACTTGACATAGACACAAATATTCAGAACAGTTGATGAGTATTCAGAACAATGATGATTTTAAAAAATGTGAAATACTACTCAAGGACTGGAATGTATCTTTTAACTTAAATTTTAAAAGAATGCATATTAAAAATACATTGTCTTTAGCACAAAAAAGAGAAAATGTAATTTTCAGCTGGTGTGTCATAGCTGAACCTGGCTTTTGAGCCCTGGTATGTGTGGTAATTTAAACAGGGAAAGAAAGAGTGATCCAGAATCCAAACCACAAAAATACTGCTACTGTATTTTGTACAGTGTAATACATACTCCATGGCTGCTTGCTACTTCACATATGAAATATAACTAGCTACGAAAAAGTAGTAAGAACTTTTGCAATAATGAATTCGAGAACACTTTTAAAGATTTCATATACTTTGTGTATTTTAGAATTTCTTTTAAAAGAATTGTGCCACCTAATCTAAACAAGCCTAGTGTTTACTTCTCTGCAGGGAGATACTCCCTCTCTCTGTTCCCTCTTACCCTGTCAGCTTCTCACCTTCACTAGGGCTCCCACTGTACTTGTCAAACATTCTTATGTTTCAGCAAAGTCCTCACGTATCCTGCTGAACTGTGAATAGACACCTTTCAGATATAGAGAGCAGGTGTGGCATCAATCCAGCAAGACACAAGATAACTTCTCTGCCCTCTTCCTGATTACTGCTCAAATTTAGCCAAGAGACTTTAAAGTCCAACAAAACAACACGTCTGCCTTGAGGCTCCTTTTTTCTTCACTGAGCAGCAACAAACTCATCCTATCACACTTAGCACAAACTCTAATCCTAGAAACCAGCAATAGTTATTTCAGTAATCCTTTTATCTTCAAAAGACAACTTCCATGAAGTCAACCAGCAAGCTTTCCTTCACTTATCTGGAGCACCTCCTCTGCCCCTCAGCACCACTCCACTGTTGGCACTTTTGTCCCAGCACAAGGGGATGGAATCCAACCAAACATCTGCTGTCAGCTACCCAGCATGTTCACTATTTCAGTACTAAGGCTGGGCACAGCCACCAATTTATCTTAACAACTGCAGGCACTTTGGTCCTGCTCTCTTTGGTCCCTAATCATTTTACTAAGCCAGTTAAAATCACTATGCTTTTTAATCTCCAACTACAGTACAACACAGTAACAAGACAGTGAGCAGGGAACATAGACAAAATTTTTATATGTGAAATATGTATGTACTATGATTAATGAAGATGCACAGAATTTTCTGGTTCTTGGTGATCACCACTTCTTCTCCTGCGCTTCTTCTCTTCCCTTCTGTGACAATTCTCACATTTCTAAGCATTTTCCTTTCTTTTTCCTTTTCCCCTCCCTTTCACATTCTTCCTTCTTTCAGTTCCTTAATCCCATCCATCTCTTTTGGAAGTTTTTCTCTACAGAATTGTTTTATCCTTCCCCCTGTGAAGCTATATGTTTTGTATAACACAGTAAGATTTAGGCTGGAATAGACCTCAGCAGGCCAACGTATTTCTAACTAATTTTAGATGAGGTATCAAAAAGGAAGAAAAGAAGCTTTTAGATGCTCAGAAATAATTGTAAGAGGAGCTTTCAGGGCCAAAAGAGAAGAAATCAAATATAGAATGCTCCCTTTTAGCAAACAGATGAATCTCTATATTAACAAACATGTATTTAAGGAATTTGGTGCACTAATTTATGCATATATTGCAGATAGAAAAATCATAACAATTTCATCAGACTAGAAGTGTAAAAGTAGTGTAAAAGTATTTGGAATCCACTTAACAGAATGAAAGGTCCTTGCAGAAATGACACTGATGAGCTTCTGTACCTAAGAACAATTATTTCCAAAGAATACACTGTATCTCCCTACTTATTATGCCTGGCCACATAATTAGCTGCTACCTAGAGTAAAATTACTCAGATGGATTATTTGCAACTTTATGAAGCTATTTGCAACTATTATGAAGCTTTATCAGCTAAGCTTCAGCCTCATATTGGAATGATCTGCAATTGGAGACTCTAAAGTGTATTAAATGATAGAATAAAATATGCATTTTCAGGTCATACATTTTAGACAAATTAAAAATACAGATGAATCCCAAAGTATTTAGAAACATAGTTCCTCATCAAGTGCTTAATTTTTCACTAATTCCCACATGAAACAAACTTTATTTCAATGTAAAGGTCTTGAACAGAAATTAGATAACGTTGTGGACTGAGGCTAATCTGTAATTTCTGTTTGGCTGTTTCACAGAGCAATGAATCAGTAAGAAGTATAATTATTTTTATTTCACTAACATTTTTTATCATTTAATACTTCAAATAATAGACTTTGAGCTAGTCTTACTAACCTCCTCGAGCAAAGCTATTGGATAGATTTACATCCAAATGTCCTGGCACTACCTGCTTAAACACAGTAGACATTCTTGAAGCCCTCGTTTCAGTGCCTAAAGTCAGCCAAAAAAAGAATAGAAGATTAAAAAACTACAGCGTTAACCAGACTAACATTTAACATAACTGCTAAAATGCCCTTTTCCCCCACAATACAGCTAATTCTTGCCAATTTTGTACTTGAGATTTATTTTTTAAGACAAAAGTGTACACTGGCAGCAGTATGGAGGTGTTAGACACAGCTAAGCAATCAACATATTTTACAATAAATGAAGCAAAGCATGCACACTTTGGGAATGGTGTTACTTTACACGAAAAGCCACTGTTTGGCAGTATTAGGCCAGTTACAACCAACTGAGTAAGACAAGACAGACACAATTTCAAGCTACATGGTCCTTTCTGACACCTTGGGTTTACCTTCACATAAACCTTATCAGATTTCATCACAAAATAACTGAAATAAAGCATGAATTAATTTCTTCATGGTTCCACCTAGGCATAACCCAAATAGCATACTTTGAAAGAGTTTTCACTGCAAGAAAAGCTCTAGTGGGAAAATACTTTAGAAACCCATTACGAGTATGTAACACATAAAAATGCCTATATGCCTTCCATTGCTGCTGCAGTTAAATAGTTTATCTGTTCATAAAAATCTGAGCTTGCAATCACTTTACTTCTTCATTTTATGAAACAGGGCAGTATTCTGTGTTCTTTTCAATCTGACAGTCTCTTATTCAGTATGCAGTTTACAATATGCTTAATTTGCTGTAAGATACTTTTTACTTTTGCTTTTTTATATAATGCAATTGTTATATCTGATCTCGTAAAAAACAAACAAAAAAACCCTAACTGGAAAGTTCTGGCATCTTGACATTCTGGAGAACTTTATTTTATTTGTTCCAGAATTGTAATAAATGACTAATGCCTCAAGACTGACCATCATACTCAAGTGAATTCCACCAAAAACTGTGACACACAGGTGGATGATTGTTTACCGTCAGACTAATACCAAAAATATTTTGGGAAGGATTATGAACAGACTTTACATACAGAAAACACATTCACTGAAGCTAAGAGTGAACAGGCTATCTGGGAAGTTTAACAATAAAGAAACAACAGAATTCATATGGGACATTGAAATAACATCAAATCAGAGAAAACTCATTCTTCAACTTAACCACAGAGAAGCACTGCAAACCAATTTTACCTGGAGACAGAGCAATTGTTGGGCTAACAGTGAGAGTATTACTGCCATTCATTTTGCAGTGGACGGATATCACATTCAGTAAGGCTTGCAGGTATTTTTCCTGTTCTATACTGCTTGAAGATTCTAAAGAAGCAGGAGCTAGAGGCACAAGAAGAATGCAATACATTAAAATACAAAAATGCAATTTATAAATACACAGAATAGCAAAATGAAAAGTTTCTTGTGTAAAGCAGAGCACTGAAAATGTCACAGTTTGTCTCTCAAAGGTTCAAAAAGCTTTTCGTTTGATGACAAAGAATGTTCAGCTGTTCATCAGCTGGCTGCAGAGCAGGACTCAGCAATGTCCTCTTCCACACAGAGCTGAAACCTCGTGGTCACTGCTCAAAATCCACCATTAGCCAGTGATCAAAACAAACAGTGAAAATAATGTAGCATTGCCTTCACTCTCCAAAGGAAAAGTAACATTTCTACGTTTGTGCTACTTGTCAGCAAATTCCAGCCTTTTAAAGCAATGTGCAGACAACAGCAGACAGAACTGTTTCTTTGACACAAGTTGAAACCATACTCAAGAAGCTCTTCCTCATTCCAGAAAAGGAAGGTTACTTACCTGTACCTGGGGGTTCCTTGAGATACAGTGCCCACTCACTGAAGTTCATGTGTACCAGACACTGGTGTTCATACACTCTGCTGTATTTAGAGACATCAGTGGACACCATTCACGTGTCCTTCAGGTACTCTATCCCCAGAATGTGACCATTTCAATGGATTCAAAGGAGAGGAAAGAGGATGGACAGGGCATGTACACCTGGATTATACACTTTAAAGGACCTCCAATGAGGAAAAGTTACACTCCCATTCCCCAGTGGCAGTCCATCTGCTCCTTCACCAGCTCACCAGCAAGCAACTTCAGGAAGTGTCTTCCCATATGTTTGGGTAACTCGTAGGATGGGGGGATGCACTGTTGAGAGTACCACAATTCCTTCTCTGAAACCTCTGAATAATCCTGTACAAGAATGTTGTTCCTTAATTTGCTGGAGACATGGAGAAGGACCACTTCAGAGAGAAGTGGCTCCAAAAGACTGGATGAAAGCAAAGCCAGAGAGGAAACAGAGAGTTTAAAAACAGAGGGCAGAGAAAGAAAAGCAAGAAGGTATGATGCTTTGAGAAAGTACTTAAGTTAAGCAGACAGTCCACTTAGGACCATCCTAACACTTAAGAAACCATTAGCAAAACACAGAACCAAGGAAAAAACCTTGAAAATAAGAAAAAAACACAACAAACCCACACCCATTATGCCCAGATGCAAGGACTTTAAGGAAGGAAAGGAGATGAAGGTCAGGTCTTGTGCATCATACTACAATGACCAAAAAAGTGTCCAGTATCAGTAAGTCAGAGTTTTTTTCAAATGACTAACAAAATTTTTGGAATTCTTGTTTATTGCAGCCACCTCTGGACTTACTAAAGGACAAAAATTTCACAGCAGCTTAAACAGAATTTGGTATCTTGTCCACAAGAGCCAAGACTTGGAATAAGAGATAGAGTCAAAGAATTTGACTGAACACATTTTGACAAACCACCATGGTAACTTGTAAATCATTTTCTCCTACGATGATCCAATCATACTCCATGTTGGAGACTAACAGACAGTAACCTAATTAGCTGGAGGTGGTAAAAGAAATTTCATGATAGCCCTGTTAAAATTAGTGTCTGAATTGAAAGTACAATTAGGAAGTGATTAGATAACGTACATGCTGTTTCTGCCTGACCAAGTGGAAACAGCCTGAAGAGGAACATTATTTTCTCTTCAACTCCTAAGTCTGGAATGATCTTTGGGTCTCCCAGTCCTTGAAACAATGCCACAAAAAGTCAATTTAGGTCTAAACAATTTAGTTAAGTGAAAGGAAATGAAATATCTAAATGAAAGGATAATGTCCATACCACTTGCACTTACAAAGTTTTTTCTCTGAAGAGTATTGCATGTGTTTTAGGAAAAAGATTCAGAAGACAAACAGCCTGACTTGTATTACGAAGTCTGTCATTAAACTAGGCAGAGAATTAAAGAACAAGGGCAAAAGTGTCCTTGTGAGAGATTAGAGATGGAAAACTTGCCCTTCATCCTTACCACCAGTCATCCCATCGCACAGCATTTAACAGCAGCAAAAAGAGGTGAAAGGCTACAGGTGACTCAAAAGCATGAACCCCCTACTGCACAGGTGAACGGGGTTTTCTGTAAAATGACTCATCTTTTAAGTGTTGTATCATGAAGGTTCTTTCCAGGAAAGAAATGCATTGCTTAGCAATGCACTAGAATTGCCTCACTGCTAATATGTGCTCTGTTATGCCTGGTTGCAGGCTGCTCCAGTCAATAATCCAGCCTGTGCCAAGATAACTGTTCTCTTAGACAGTGTTACTATGTACAAGAAACATAAATGATCTTCCTACAGGACAGCTACAAGACATTGTAATTCAGGTGTAGAATGTTCAGAACAATGTTAGAAGTCTAGAACTGCAATGCTCTGCAAAGAAATTCCCAGAAAGGTCAAAGTGTATTTCAGAAACCAACTTCCATGTATCACAGCAACTCTTCAAAAGACCTGTATACTCTCCAGCTCATATTCAAACATCTGTTAATAATCCTTTTAAATACAATTCTGTTGCACACATAGTTTAGTTCCAGACAGAAATTCAGTGCTGTGCATAATTTCTCTAAAAAAACATGTTCTGTGCTTCTTATATAACACATTGATCTCCAACTATGCTTTGAAAACTTAACATACCACATAACAGGAAATCACAAAAATGTTCATTGAATTCCAGCAGGTCCTCTTTGTTTCTGTGTATCAATACAGATAAAAATCAATCCTAATAAAAATCTACTCCTATGAAATCTCTGCTTAGGAAGGTATGAATTTGTCAGCTTCAATTTAACTTCAGATTATCATTGCCTTCTCAGCTTGCATCATAATGCATTTTTCAGTATAAACTTTCCTTCATTGCACACAACTCCTACTGAGGCAAAAACATGCACCTGTGTATTGATCATGCACCTTTGTTGATCAGTTTTGTTTCACCAAGCTTCCACTTCAGGATGAGTAAAATAATTATCCTACAAATATTTTCCATTTTCCTTGCAGTACATTCCTGAGGAGAGTCTCCATTTTTTTTTCCACATTTGAAAACAAACAGTAACTCCAGAAGCAAGGATCTGTCAGATGTAGTTACTGTCAATCACTTTACCTACGGCCTAATATTCTGCTGGCGATATAAAAGACCATAAAAAAATTTAAAAAAGAAATCCCCTACAAAAGCAGTAAGATCACACACAGGAAACACATTTTATTGGGTCAGGCTTTGAAGATCTTGTTTTGGAAGGCTCTCCTACTCCCATGAACACAGAAATGATAGTTACTATAGAAAACATGGAAGTGTTTGTCTTTATAATATTTCAAGACTATTCCTGCACATTTTTTTCAATTTATATTCTATCTATACCAGGTTAAAGATGCCTAGTCAGTATTTCAGCTAAGACAGCTGGTATTAAACCAGTGTAAGACTAACATTTGAATTGCCATGCTTAGGATTCCCACCACAAGCCTGTGGAAGAACTGATGTAGCCATTGGCTTTGGCAGCTGCTGTGTTAACTACTGGTAGTACTGATCCATTTCATTAATCCTTTCAACAAAAATGCAATATATAAATTCCCATTCACCACCTTGCTCACCACTCCAACTAAAAAATGCCCCCACAAAACACCGACTCCAGGTTATAGCAATGAATATTCAGCAGATAATTAGTGATTCACAAATTACTGTTAACAGCCAGTCCAGGCACTGTCTAATGTAAAAAGCATTTTTCTAATAGCTCTGAAACCATGAGATTTTAAAGGTGCATTTGATAAAGATACAAAACATCATTACGTCTGATCTAAACTGCTCTTTACAAGTAAGAAACATGTGGTTTTCATAAAGATACTCTGTATTATGAAAGATTTATGAAAAATTCAGAAGACCTATGTAGAAAATATTTAAATCATGTAATCTTAAAACTACTTCTATGTGACTTGCACAGAAGTGTACAGTATGCTCGTTATAGGTTATGAAAAATTCTATAGAATAAATTTTAGCAAAGTTAGGCCATTTAATTATGCTTTAGTCGTTACTGGGGAGAAACGTAAACATTAACAGGACAGAGGGATTCCTCCGCTCCCTTAGTGAGTTCCTGATATTACAATTCTACCTCACATTTCCTTTTTCTCAAAAAAGAAAAATTATGGCCTAACCCTTGAATAATTTCTCAAAAACTATCAGTGTGATTAAAGAGAATACTGACTCTCATTCTTGGCATGAAATTAACTCTGAAAAAATTATCAGCATATGACATGGAAATCTAGGCAGTCATAATAAATATCCTAAACACTGCCTGTGAATAATGAAACTTAAATAATCTTCTTTCCAAAATTAATTATATTCTGAAAAACTAACTATTCTGATAAATCTTGTGTTGGTCCAGCCTTGATCACACAAAGGAAGAGATTTACTTAATGCACAGACTCCAACTAGAATCTTTCAAGTCTGTGTTTTATAAAAGAAAGAAATTAAACTAGTATTACAATGAAAAACATGAGAAAAATCAAATAGACAATGATATCTATAACATTTTATGTAGTCCTCTATTCAAAGGGACACCATACACTCATTACACAAACCAGTGCAGCGGAAAAAAGTAATTTAAGGGAAACACGAGAAGTTTGCATTGTACTTAAGAGATATCAGATTTTACTGAAACCTTTTGGTATGTCTATAATCTCTGTCCAAATTATTCACTGGCATTTTTGAACCACTTTCACACCATCCAGGATCTGCTTCTTGACACATGGTAATTAATATTATTGGATAACCACTCATATCCCAGGGCATTTGATCAATCGAGTCACTGATGTCCTCTAGAAAAGTTAAGTATTTCCACGTCAAATTCCTTGTAGAGAAAGCCCAGCTGCATCAACTCACCTGTAGGATGTGTGTTTTGGGATTTGAAGAGGCCCACAACACTCTTCCCATGAAAGCCCCCGGACCTTAGCAGCAGAGTGCTGTTTTTGGTGTTCTTCCAACAGACCACGGGCAGGCGGTTGTGCCGGTAACAGCGAGCCACTCTCTGCAGGCTGCTGTCCTGGACAGACTGGGGGACCACCAGCAGCCCAGGGTAACTGCACGGACAAGAAGGACATAAAAAAATTGAAAGACAACTCAAACTGCTCAACGACGAAAAACCACACAAAACCAACTCAAAATTACAAGCTGAAAATGCATCTTAATGAAAAGACACCCTAACTGTTGGAATTACTTTTATTTCCTAAGTAATTTTTAGTTCAATCCCAGCAAATACATTAGTTCATAAAGAAAGCTGCATTTTGAACAGAACTTGAGGTATGAAAAAATTGCAAGGCTATCACTACTAGTCACTTTCCACTGTAGGTTACATTTTATTTGGCAGTATTTTTCTTCTTAGTGTATCTCTTATCTGCCACTGTAATTTTTAAGCATGACAGAAAACAGAATTTTGAGGCATGCAAATGATGTTGTAGTTTTGTTTTGACACTTGTATATGAAATATGAGAATTGAAAGGAAAGAATGTTAGATTGCCTAAAGTATCACAATGAAAACAATAGTTTTTGGTTTATGGCAAAATACATTTAAATTTTACAGTCAGATTCCTTGGAACACTGCTTGAAACTGTCTGGGTACTTTTAAAAACACTACAATACAGGGGGAGATTAGAAAATTCACTGATATAATACCTTTAAAGGTGGAAACCCCAGTAAGACTGTAGTTGTGTTCACCTTAGTGAAAGAAGGATTCAAGGAATATGAAATATTATTTTCCATCTCCTCAAAAAACATCACTATAAGTGCCAATTTCATATGTTAAGAAGAAACTAAGATGAGACACGGGGAACAGTTACTGTTTACTAAACAACTTTGTTTCTCTATAATATCCACTGTTCCTCTAAATTCAATTCTTTAACATTTGGTGAACTGCACTCAGACAAAATAAATGTACTTGACATTTATAGTCAAACTTCTTAAAACGCAGTAACCAAACTAATATAGCAGTAGATTAGTATTTATATCCTGGGATTTTTAATCTGATCAGATATTAGTTGCCTTTAAAAAAACCTCCACCCTATAGAATATTAAAACCCAGTGGTTTTAGGAGAGGAAAGAGTTGTCTGCATAATGTTCAGTGCATAATGAAAATGCATAGATTTAATGAGTTCATCTGCATTGTACTCAATGGTGATTAAACAAACAGTACTTTAGACAAGTCATAAAACAAGAAAGGATCTAGGATTTTCCTTCTGTGCCCTTCTTCCACGAAGAACTGGTGATTCCATTGTCCATTATGAAAGCAATGACTAGTCAAAACCGGCTTTGGAGAATGCAAATATCTTCTGATATGACTCATGCAGATATGCTTTTGTATTAAAAAGAATGTTTGTGGGCCATGGTAGTAAACTGCATCAGCTTTCACAACAAAAAGAGGAGTTAGTAACACTCATGTGCTAAAACACAGTACGTGACTTTCAGCACATGACCAACTTTGAAAGTAGATACTTTCATGACTTTAATTTTAACACGTATTTTTTAATTTGAGGAAAATATTTATTTATAATCTTTCTGAGGCTTTGCTTTTTTATTTAGGAACAGAATAGATTTTAAATGCAAATGTATTTACGCAAATATACAGATACATGTCTCTACTTTCAACTCCTTAACTGCGTTGGTAAACTCACCTCCTGCAAAGTGAATACATCCTGTTCAGTGCAGTTATTCGTAAGTATTCTGTTTTTGAGCGAGACGAGTTAGTGCTGATGGTGCCCAGGCCCAAACGCTGGTAGTCTCTGAAACAGGCTCTTTCTACTAATTGCTCCATTGTTGATTTTTCTGATGCTTTCAGGGTGCCACCCGTGTGCATCTCGCTGTCGTCTGAAACTAAAGACAAAAATGTTGAGGAGTTGGCAACTGGGAAGGCCAGCAGTTACACAGAAAACAGTGCCACTTTCTTCTGAACGAAATATCATTCTGTTTTACCCTTGGTGACATGTGGCAAGAACTAACACATATAAACCACAGTTTATAAAATTCATAAACAATAAAATAGTATCTTACTCAGGAAACCTGCCTATATCATGCTTGGGACTGGCATGGCTGACATCTCTCTTGCTAAAATCCTGGAAAAAGTCATCTCACATATTCATTAGAACCGAAGACAGATAATCTTTTCTTACAAATTTATGAATTCTTTAAGAATTCTTTATGAATTCTTTACAAATTCATTCAAGATAAGAACACACTACACAATTTTTTTTTTTAACTATCTTCAGGAGAGGTACGATCTCTTAAAGGCTTGGTTCAACTTAAAAAATGTTTCAGTGTTCTAATTTCACAACAGATGTGACTGTTGGTTTCTTAATGTCCCTGTTTCAATGTCAAACAGCAGCTTCCTTCACCCGTGCACATCAGCTGCACTTTCCAAAGCAGAAAAACCTTTAACCATGAGAGATAAAAAACTATGTCACAAGTTCAAACTACTCTGAAATTCAAGTCAAGCAAGGTCGTCGTACAAAACCTGCCACCTGTCTGTTAGTGACACTTTTCAGCTATTTCCAAATACTTCTGAAAGCAGATTTACTGCTCACAGCACGTATCAGTTACTTGCTACCACCTCAAGCACTGAAATATGTGCTTCTGAGAAGTATTTCTTCAAGAACGATGCCCAGGAAAGTCTATAAGGATTTAAATTTAAGACAGCACTTCATAACCCTGGAAATTAAAATTATTAAAAGAACCCAAAAATTATGATATAATTAAAATTTAACTGGCAGTAGACAACATTCAGAATTTACAGCAGTACCTATACAATTTTTTTTTCTGTGCTTCTCAGCATAAAAACTGAATGAGTCATGTTTTTTGCCCTTTGAGCTCATCAAACAAAATCAAAAATTCTCTATTTGATCTAAATAACAGACTTTAATATCGTGGATATCTCCTCTTTTTCCTGTGTTTTCGTATTTGTCATGGGAAGAAAGAAGTTACACAACATTTAAAGTGTACTAATGAGAAACAAAATTAAATGGGTTTTAGAAATAATTTTATTTTTGGTCACACAGAAACTTGGTATTTAACAGATTTCAGTGCAAAGCTATAACCGACTCAGTTAAGATGAGGCTGCATTTTTTGAAATACTTCTTTCTAAATGTACTTTTCTCTCATGAAAGTAGTTATACTGGTGATCAGAGTTTGCAAAACATTTTCCTGGGCATAAAAAGCTAGAGATAAGAGCTCATATCAATGTCCTTAACCTGGAGAGACAACAAAATATCTTCAGCATGATTTATTTGATTCCGAAAAGATGAGGGATAAACTTTCTATTTTACTGTTCTTGAGATATGACTATTTGCAAAAGCAGGTTTTGCAGTCTCTTGTTTTATTGAACACACCAATATGATCACTTGTAGGAAACAGAATGTAGTAGTGATTTAGAGATGATAAACTCTGAAAATAAAATTATGAGGAGGAATTGGAGGGAAGTTCGGTGTTCACTGGCAACAAATAATAACTGCAGTGTCCAGTTTTGGAAGTCACATTGCAAGTTACATGTGGACCAGTTTAAGAAGTCTGAGAAAAAAGTATTGAAGATGATCATAAGTCTATCAAGACTAACAAACAAAGAACTGAAAGAAAGAACTGTGGATTTTTAACATACAGAAAAGAACAGAGAAATATTACAGTAAGCCATAAATACATTAAACTGCAATCAGAATGAAGGAATTCACCTCTTCTATATGTATATAGAGGCAGAGTAAGAAAGGAAGGCTTTAAATTGCAGCAAGATGATGTTTAGTCCTGAGTATCAGAAAGTTGCTTGTTTCTCTCCTGCATTAAGGATGGCTCTACGATCTGCCTAGAGTTGTGAAACCTTCATCTCTGAAAGCTTCTAAGAAAAAGTTAGGTAATCACTTACAAGGAACAGTTTACGTATGCTGCTCTTGCCCTGGGGCAGAGAGATGGACTAGTTGACCTCCTGAAGTTCCTTCCAACCCTACCTTTAACACTTCTTTTTTAAGACAATGCATCACCTGCTGCAGAGAGTTCCTGTTTGACTCACTGCTGGTAAAGCTGCATAGTTTCCCATACTTCAGTTTGTGAGACTTGCAAACAAGTCAAAGTCAAAACCACAGCAGTCAAGATAAAAGAAATTGCAGTGATTAATTCCTATGGCTATTTGTACTCTGCTGAAGTAGAGTCACCACTGTTGTCAGCTGACTGATGTGTTAGGGCTGCATGGAGAGAAAAGCAAACTGTTAGCCCTTGGTCACCTTACACATTCCAGCCAAAACAGCTGGAAAACAGCAGGCCTGAAGACTCACAATAATTTATATTTTTTTATTTTTGTTAGGGGAGGAAAAAAGTGACTGTTCACTAACGTTTATATAACACCTGTGTTCATGGAAGAACACAGTCATTTTGTGTATCAGCAATGCAAAAACTTAAAACTTCTTCAAGGGTAGTATGAATACACAGGTATGACTGTGCTTTGTGTCTCTGGGTGAAGAACACAAAATCACCCCCAAATCACCCAGGTCCAGCCTGCAGAATTGCTTCCGATCCAAAGAATCTACAACATCAGAACGCATGCTAACACAGCCCTTAAGGAAGATGATGGAAATTCAATTAAGAAAGTAATTTTTCGGCACTGTAAAGACATCCTGTATTTTCTAAAACTTTATTTTTGCCTTTTTCTCACTTTATCTGGAATGAAAGAAGAGAATCAGTATTTTTCAGCTCAACTGGAATGGCTTTCTTCCATTTCAGAGAGAACAGAGACAAGTGCTTTAGTCCTTCTTTGGACAACTTTCACACATCTGCTCGTAAGTCACATAAGTTGCCTTGCTCAATGACCAAATATTTTAAAAGAAAATCTGGCTTGTTTGATGTTTTGAAGAAATTATCAGTGTTTGATAAACACTTAATTATCTGAGACGCTTATGTTTTTTTAAAAAAGAAAAAATGGTATGACAAAACAACACCTGTTTATGTACAGGAGAATCTGGTTCCCTCTAGTGGTTTATTATAAATTAGCAGTGGTCCAGATAAGGATATATTGACAATAGTACATGGAAAGAAAAGAAGTTTTTTGGAGAAAGTCAAATTCCACACCATCACACAAACAGCACAAAGTGCCCAAGTCCCTTTCTACCTTCTGCCCCAAATCCTTCCAACCAAAATTTTGGAAAGTGATATATTCAGTAGCAATGACTTCTGCTGCTTTCAAAAATCATTTGTCAGTTCCACATCCACAAAAGCCTCCAATAATGTCTGCTCATTCTTGCATCTCACCAGTTACTGCTTTCTCATCAAAGACTAATTGCAGATATCAGATGTCTAAAGATAAATGGAGGCTACAGCATGCTTCTGTGCTGTTACATCTATACTAGTATGATGTAAAAAAAATGATCTAAAAGATACTATATCTAAATAGTTTCATAATTGAAAAATAACCTCATACTTTACTACACCACTGAATTAAGTCAACTTCCTCTTCTGCCTCTTCATTGCAAAACAGAACACTCACTAAATGTACAGATTTGAAACCCTTCTCTTCCCTGTCTAGGAAGACTCTTCCATTTCATTTTGAAAACATTTTGTATTCAATAGACTGTAAAGGAAGCATAATAGAGTTATTAGCATAATGGACTTATTAACCAACATGGAAAAAAGTATTTTCCTATTACCAGAGATATCATCATCTTCATTCCAGCCTGGGCGATTTCCTCTTTCTTCCACTATTGTGCCTGTCTTCTTCTTTAATAAATACTGGCGTCCAATTGTCATCTTCCCAGCACGTTTTGCTCCTTTCACAATGCTTTTTGAGAAGGTACTATAAATTCAAAGCAATGAAAATATTTAGAAAGATGATTCTCCCTAAGAGCATTTACAGATTTCTATGATGAACACAAATAAAATGTATGTAATAATTTTTCACTAATTACAAAGTCAACAATTAGAAACTTCAGAAAAACAACTTCCTATATTAAATTTTAAACACAAATTTTATTACTTTGAGATAAATTTGTGCCTATAATGTCTAATGGCAATGAATAAGCAGATATCATCTTTCTTCAGGTATTTTCATTTTGCTAGCAATGTGATAAATCTAGAAAGTTGACAAAGTAAAGGCAGGAAAGACAGACATTACCTTAAACTTTTAGGATTTCAGGAATACCTTGGGATTATACTTTTCTGTGTCAACAGGGCAATAATCAACAGAGAATCACAGGAGCTACCACTCTGGAACAGACTAATGATGCAGCTGGTCCAGTAAAATTAATGCATAATATAAAACTTAAAAGCAGACCCAAAGCTCAAACTCTAAATTAAAAACCACCAGAGCAAAGGCACAGGGTAAAACTAATTCTAATCCAGATTAAGTTGTTAACCTATAACACACAATGAACCTTGTTTCCATGTTGGCACAGGCTGCATAGCTCAAGATGCTACTTATATTTTCAAAATATAAGTAGGTTTCAATATGTAGTAAGGGGCTTGTCCAAACCTACTGCATCAAGAAATTTAGTTGAATAAGATAATTCCTATACCAAGTAAACATCTGTCTTATACTAATCCTCCTCTTATTCAGGAAATATAAAGAGATGCAGAATAGCAATCGCTTATTTTGACATTCCTGAAAAGTGATCTACATTTGTGCAGAGCTCTCAGACTGTTCAATGTGTCTGACTGACACAAAACAAGGACATCAGCAGTAAGAGAAGCAGAGGGACTGTACCGGAATGAAGTGTTCTTTTCTTTCTGTTTCGGTAAAATTATCTGTGGTGCTGTTTGCCCAGCGGCGAATGCAAAAGTGCTGAAGATAGACTGGGGATAGCGGAACTTCATTAACTGCTTCTTAAATATTTCCACCACTTCGGGACTTACTTCTTCATCAAATGCTACTTTAATTAACTGTATATTAAAGACATGACATGTTAGAAACCAGAAAAAAATATAATTACAGAATTAAAGAAATTAAAAGATTCTAAAATACAAATATATGTACATACATCTTATTTATTTTGAGGGATATTACATGTTTTATTAATTTCTTATTTACTTTTAAAATGTATGCCCTAATACTAAGGTATTTTCACTAAGAAGCATCTGGAATTCTCATAACATCAAATACAAAATATTTTGGTAAATCCAAGTAGTAGTGCTGGCACTAAGACGTCTGCAACAGTTCAAATACTGGTCACATGGGACAGCTTAGCTTGGAAATAATTCTGCCAGCTCTGCCCCTATACTGGAAACGAAGGTTGGTAATGCACTTCAAAGACTCTCATCAAGCCAATAATTTCAGCATTCATATGTCACAACCATTATATTTCTATTACTTAGACAGCCCAATTTTTGCCTCACCTTGCAAACTACAGAAAACTGCTCATAACAAAAATGTGATCATGAAATTGGTCCTTAAAAACAAAATAACCTCATGCTATTCAACACTGATCCATCCACTTGACTAAAAACGCTTTTTTGAAAAATCTGGGGAAAAAAGAAAATCCCATCCAATCATCCTCATCCAAAAGGAAGACAGTCAACAATTCAGGGAAAAAAAAAAAGACACAGAAAATACGGAATCCATAAAAAGGCCCAAAAGAACTTCAAGAATGTGGAAAAGCAAACAAAGAAATATCCTAGAGCTTTACTTTTGAGCGCATACCTAGATACCTTTTGAATGTCTTTTGCTTGCAATCTAGAAGGTGGATTTCATCCTCGCCTTTCTAATTTTACTTGTTTTGTAAATACTTTCCAAATGACTAATAACTCTGTTGTTCTAGGACCTCCTTGAAAGGAGCTCTTCACTCCTTCAGGGTAATGCTGATCTGAAGTTTTAAAGAGAACAAATAGCATAACCGCACACAAACCCATCTGAAAAATCACTATTAATAAACAAAGAGGAGGGGTTATTTTATACTGCATTGAACTCTGGCTGTTACATAAGGAACAGAGAGTAAACTGTTTGCTGATTGTTTTTGTTCTCCTAACCTAATACAAAACTATGCTAAACAAAAGCAAAGATGATGTTTGACCTGAATCCAGCACTAAAAACACCCTGTCTGTATTTATCACATCGTTGAAGCATGCTAAGTATTCTGATAAAAAGATTTCTGGAAAATAAGAGTCCTCTCACAAGTCCACAAGTGAACAACACTTTTTTGCTTATTTTACTCACTTGTATTCCTAATCTTATGCTCTTGAAGAGGATATTGAAGGATGATTAGCTAAATAATGTCCATTATTGAAAGGAATTAGTAAAATGCTGATGATATAGGTTGTTGTTTTCAAATGTTATTGTTCTCAATGAAAATATAATTCTGCAGTCAGTCAACCCAACAAAGTATTTCATATCTTAAGTACTGCATTCTACTTTCAGTCCATGATATAAAATTCTTTGCTTTTCAACTTTCAATCTCTTAAGGTTTGACCACAGCTAATATCACTATCAAGAGGAAGAATTCAGGGAAGGCTTCAGGATTCCTAATTCTTAGAAGTCCATCTCCGTCAATTGCCCTGCAGAACATGCTTCTGTTGAACACACTGAGGGAGATCCTACAGATGGGAAAATTCCAGGATCTGTGCCAGTCATACCGAGGCTCACTGGTTCTAGACAATGGCGGCTACTCTAAAGATTCCTGGAAGTGCAGCCTCCATGTGCAACATACCATGACTTTCTGTCACGGATTTTAACAGCAAGCTGGTAAAGTGTCAAGTGTTGAGAAGAAAACAACACTTAAAGTTCTCCATATTCATTCCATGTAGCTGCAGGAGCGAGAAAGCATGCTTCCATTGGTCTGCCTAGGCCTCTATTTACATGAAGATATTTTGGACCCAAAGCAGCCCCTTACAGGATCCAAAACAGACAGACAAGGAAAGCACTAAAAGAAATCCAATGTGAAAACGTAAATATCACCTGGGTAAAGAAAGGTCAGGGTTTCTACGAGGACTGCATTGTCTGTTGACTTTACAGAGCAGAAAACTGGACTCTTCACAAACAGCAGGACAAAGAGCTGCTCATAAGTGTATTGAGCTGACTGTGCAGCCACACAAATTTTTACAAAACCTCCTTTTACCTGAAAGGTAGCTGAACTGATCTGCAGTCCTTCCTGCATACTCTGCTGCAGCTGGTTCTGAATACTGATCTTCTTCTCCTTCGTAACAGATGCAATAGGAAAGCTCCGGATCACCGTCTGCTCTCCAACTGAGAACCACAACACCCAGACACGTGTTAGATCAGAGTCAGATCTGCTCTGGTCACGTTGTCATTTGAACAGATTGGAATGAGTAAGTATAAAGCAACATGAACATATTGGTAGAGAGTTAATTTCAGGCAAAATACCTGAAAAGGTGGTAAATTTCTAAAGCATTATTTGTAATCTGAATTTCTGCTTAATTTCAGTGGGAACGATTAGAAAAATAATCTCCTTCCTTCTGAATCTTTCTACACGATGGAAGTGCACCCCCAAAATCTAGGTTGGTAGGGGGTAAAGAAACAATTTCAATCTTATTCAAATTTCATACTGTATCGTACAACTTATAAACAAGTGATGGTATACATTGATATCTTTACATATGACCACAAACTTTGCACAATAAATTTATACTTCTGAATGACAATCAGATGTCATAGAAAAGGCAGACGTCAAAACACGAAAAGTTATCATTTAGAAGAGCAATCTCCATTAAATATTAAAAAAATACTGCATTTACAAGCAATAATTTTAGGTAGAATACTAACATATGAATATTTTTCCTTAAATTTTCTTCCAATGTCTGAAAAAAAATTTATGGAAACCTAGGAGTAGTGGAAGCTGCAGATTTCATATGGAGTCTCTGTTCTCTCTTAGTGGTGAAGAAGCTTACAAATACTGCTCTGCTAAGCAGCAATTTAAACCAGCCTTACAGTTGGAACAGAGATATAAAGACACCAAGCATTTTGTCCATTCTAAAGCCTATGAAAATTACTAAGGTATGATCAGGAACGTTCCTGTTTTCTGTCTCCAATTTTAGGTAGTCCATAAAAGCCCATGATGCCACGTGACAGCTACTGAAGTTTCCTTTAAGACATGTATATATGATTTTATATTACATAAATTACTGAAGACAGAACTCTAAATATCTACCAATACACAGGAATAAATAAACCTTTAGCATCTGAAGAAGGAAGCTGCAGTTAAGTGCAAAATCAAAACCAATCACTGTCATATTCAGTGATAAAAGCTTGTATTAAGAGATTACTTTTATCTAACAAACATGAAAAATTATACTGTGAGGTATGTGCATTTTGATGTTGATGCTTGAACAGGTAAACAGGCCAGCTCAAAATTCTGTTTATCCTGAAGGATCCCAATTATAACTGTTTGGATTTTCTTACCCAGTTGATCATGAGGAGTGCCTTTAAATATAATTCTGTAAGTGGTAAGGAACAAAGCTCCTTCAGCAGGGAGGATATGAGGACCTCCAAGCAGTCCTCCTGTGGCTTCCTCTCTGCCATCAGGATCCAGTAGCACACGGAGACCTTCACAAACAAATTCTTCTCCTGGCAGTAAAGTTGGTCGTAGAATTTTGGGCTGATGCAAATAATTGAAATGTGTTAGTGTAACAGCATTATCAGTGTCATACCTCAGTCTAGTTACAATATTTGGTTTTAAAAGCTTCAAAACAAAATTATTATGAGACTGAGTCCAAAGAAGGGAGATGGAGTTTGGACTCAACTAAGAGAAATGGGTCTCAAAAAGCAGTGGGCATGCAATAGCTTGTTTATGATCAGAGGTTTGGCTCTAGGAGTTTCACATTTCATGAGACCAAAGCCAAGCATTTTATTTATCACTGCTGGAAATTTTCTTTTCATGTTTTGATGTTTCCTCCTAACATTATGAGAGGAAAAAAAGATTACTAAACTGCATGATTCTAATACTTGTAAGGAATACAAATATGTTTCATAATACTTGCCTTCTGTATTGGTGGAAGCCGCCTACTCTCACGATGGACAGCCTCCAGAGTCTCTATGTGCATTGCTACAATGCCTGGAAAGCAGTAATACCATAAGTGAAGTCTCACACAATGTTAAAAAAAAAGCTTTAATCTAATTAAAACTCTGATACTCTGAAATTCTCAAATTCAAACATCAAGGGAATAATTATCTAAAATTCAACAGCAACTACAGCTTGGAAAAGAAATCTAACCTCCTGACATAACTGAAAGTAACTGAAACTAAAAAGTGCATTTGTCTCACTAGATAAAAAAAAAAAAAGACTATAAACCACCTTTTTGACAGAATTCCTACCTGGTATCATGCAATGCAGCCCCTTGATGTGATCCTGGGTAACTCCACTTTCTGTGCAGACCTTGTCAATAAATCTGGTGATGAAGCGCACAACCGCATTTGCAACGTCGTTGTTCTCCGAGTCCTCAAATCCACTCTCGGTGTCGTAACTCTCTGCAACACTGCCTGCAATACTAGAGGCATAAATAAAAACAATGTCAGGAGTGAAAAATTCAGCTGTTCATGCACATATGATACCTGGCTGGACAAAGACAAGCTGTGGGGTTTTTCTCTAGTAACAATTCACAAACCTTGCTAAAAGCATATGGTGGTACCACAAGTACATTCTACTTCCACTGCATTAACACTGTCTAAACTTCATGGATGACGACAGAGGAGAACTTCCCCTCCATGAGCCCAGTGCAGAGAGGCCCCCCAGGAGAAAACAGCTTTTTGAAAGTGAGCTCTATGTCTTCTCTTCATAAAGTCAAGTACAGTATTTACAACTCATGGTAAACAAATATCAAGTTATATAGAGAAAGATACATTTTAAAGGCATATTTTGGTTGCAGAGCAAAGGAATCAAAATCTAAAAAGATACAGGAAAAGCTTTTTGTGCATCAGGTAAGCAAGCAAGTCAGTGGTAGAGGTACTTTGAACATCTAAAAATGCCTCCCATAATAATACTAAGAGCCAGATTCATAGATTGCAACATACACTGCAACCACACACAGCTCACAGGCATACGGAGCATGCCTGAGATTAGGGGTGTTTAGTCAGCAGAAATCAGTAACTCCACAGGGAGTTTTGTCCTGATAGCCTTTTACTTGATATCAGGGTTTTTACATGGTGTTCTATGACTTTATCAGGCGGGAATTTTGTACAGATAGGTGATAATGAAGACAACAAACAGAGAGGGAGGAAGGCTTGTTATGAAATGTCCTGGATTTGCATGCTAGGGAACATAACTGATGTTACACTCCTCCTGCTTCCTTAGTAATTTAACCTTTGCCATTGTGGTTTAGCCCTCTTGCTTTTTGTGGCCTCAGTGCCTTTCCTCCTTGCAGCTGTTGCACAGAAATTGTGATTTTATGGATGCTATACAAAAGGTTTCTTGACTTTAGGTTCATGCACAGGTTTTTTTTTCAACTTACATAAAAACTAACAGAGTGGTTTGAGGGTTGCTGTTTTCTTTCTCACCATACCCTGTGTTTGTCCTCAACATCAATACAACTTTTATGTTCCTTTAAATGGTGGTAAACTACTCCAGATTAAGTTCTGTTATTCAAGAGGAATGATACCAGACTTCTGCTTGCCTTAACTAATGAACTTGAAAAGAAGTGAAGATACTGAAATAATCTGGTATTTAGAATAAGCCCTAAAAGCTATGACCACTCTGCAAACCGTGGCCCATCCTGACTGATGAGCACTGACCTTGCACACCCACCTGTTTGTGACAATGCTGTTGCTTCCGCTCTCCCAGTCACCAGTGGCTGAAGTTCTCAGCAACTTGTTCTTACTCGTGTCCAGTGGTACCAGCAGATAGACCATGAGGTTGGCAAAATGAATTGCCTGACTGAAAACGGTGCTTTCCTCATTCTGGACTAGCTCCTGCTGCGTCTGTTTATTAAGAGTTGGCCACAATCGCAGCTGCTCGGCAGCCAGGTCCATTGCTGTCTTATCCTGGTCTGGGCTGGCAGAAGTTTTCTCCTAGAAGCCATACAGAAAGAAATATAAAGACACATAAAGAGATACAAAGAAGAAATAATAAAGCTATAACTTAAAAAAACAATGTTTAGTCAAAACTTCATTTATTAAATTTCTTACTAAAATTCCTCAGTTATTTAAATCATGTATTCATTTGGAAAGGAAAAGCAAATAACTACATTCAGTACGGTTTAAAGAGAGTTATCATTATGGGAACAGAGCTTTGAAAGTGGTTTACTGAAATACACAAGTAGCACAATGTAGACAGATCTAAGTAACATAATTTCTTTTGAGGTCTCTTCTATGTCATACAATGTTCCCTCTTTTTTCAGAGTGGTTTACTGACTTTAATATAGCTCCCCTCCTTAGATTATCCACTTAACTCACATATGAACAAGCATAAATCAGATTGAGAAACAACATGCAGCTCATAGCCTGATCCAGGAGATATCCTCCAAATTCCTAGGATGCTCAGGTGAGAGAAGATTTTCTATAAATAGTTTCCAGGCCAGCTGAAACATTCATGTTTTAATATGCTGGAGTCCAACTCTAGCATTAGCTTGAAGCAAACTAGGTAGATGGCACACAATCAAACTACAGTAAAGGAATCTGGCAGCTGATATTAATGACCTAACGCCTGATGTTAAATTAATTGAGGACTAGATATCTTGCAAATGTTTTTTCCATACTAAGTTGAGGTAATTTTCCATATAAACACATGTGAGGGTTAAAGGAGATGCTTCACTGTAAGTGCTACTGTTCTTCACATTTTTCTTTACAGAGTGTCAGATTGGAGGAGGTTCCCTGTACACAAACCCACAGTCCTTTTCTCTTTATCCCAGAAATTTCTCTGCATTCTTCATTCTGACTACAATTCTGGGAATAGCTCTGTCTATTTTACTTCCTCTCTTGACTACACTGTATACTTTGGGTAGATACACTTCTCAGTCTCATAGTTGATATTTTCATAAAATAAGAGAGATTAAAAGTGGCTCTTTTCTATGTGTATGTGCTCCTTAAAAAATTTCATAATTTAATTTTAGCATACTTCAAGGCATCCCATCATACTACTCTCAGGAAAAACATACACATTAAAGTGTGGAAAATTCTACAAAAGGTGCTTGTTTGAAAAATCATCAATGCAACATCAGATTATAATGCTTTGCAAACAAATATACATTTTTATTATTTCTCATGTTATTGTATGCTGTGTAACATGGGGAAAACGAAAGAAAAATACATAGAATAACTTTGCCCTCTGTAACTTAGGAGACAATTAAAATGTGAATAAAAATATTACTTTAACATTTACTTTAATATAATCCCCTACCTTTTGTTTTAACTGTACTGCATGGTTGTCATCTTTGGCTGTAAGGTAAAGGGCACGAACTTGATTTTGCACGTTGCTATAAAAGGTTGTTTCCCAAAACTGTTGGTTAGTCCAGATAGGATGATCCTGTACACAGGTGTAAGCAAACTGACTAACTCCAGGTGCTAATTTCTGAAAGTAAAAGATGTGCAAAGTTAACAAATTAGTCCTATTTTTTAATTTCTTTCAAAGGTTATGCATTGAGTACTGAAATATAAATACATTATACATATATATACACATATATATACATAAACATAAAATTAGTTGTACAGACTGAAATATGCCACCAGAGTTCTTCCTAAAAGCTTCATTTGTTGCAACAGTAGAAGATTAGATAAATTGTTATCTTCACTGTTATTTACTGTACTCTATGACCCAAATCCAGCTTCTGAAAGTGTGCTAAATTAGGTATGTTCTTTGAAGTCACAAGGGTCTGGATCACTGTAAGATCTCAAACAAACCCAGGATTGTTACAGCATTAGTCATTATGAATGAACCATTTTTTTCAAGTAGATCTATTTATTTAGGTTGCACTAGTCTCCCAGTGAGTTGTTTAATATTCTTGATAACCACATACAATGAAAGGAAATTTATTTCAGTGATCTGAATCATGAAGAATGAAATCCTTTATCATACATTCTTACTTTTTGAAAAAAGAAGGCCGCAAAAAATATCTGTGTTGTATACTGCATGTAGCTAAGAAGGAGGTAATCTAAATATCTGCTTTGATTATTTCTGCAGCAGAACTGAAGAAAAAAGTATATTACTGGGTGCCTCATTTAATGACTTTCACTCACAATACTACCCATACCTGAAATACACACTATATCTAGAACTTAAATTTCATTTTGGTGATTATGTTGTAAAGTGCTTTCCTGGAGAGCATGACTGCTCCTCAATTTAATATTTGTAATTGTACAGCTGTTCACAACAGCCGGTACACATAAAAGTCTCTTAGCAGGCACTTGGGCATCCAAATGGAAGGCTAGGAAATTACAACCAAAAATTTTAGAGTCTGGTTTACAGATTTCTGGTTTTGCAATTCTTCAGACTGTGTTTTCCACGTTATGCTCTTCCAAGTACATCATGAACTAAAAGTCCTGATCATGTGCCATGTATTCATTCCTTATCAAAGGACCTTATTCCAAGGTCCTTTCAAACTGTATGTTGAGAAAATGCTATGTGACATGCTAGTAAAATTTACCCAATTAAAATGCCTCCTTGTGACTGACCATCAAAAAGTGAGAAATAAATTATTTATTTAATCATGCAGAATAAAATAAAAATTTCTTGGTAAACTGTTATGAAATCTAAACGTGTAGAAGATTCAAATTATATTAAATGTGATTTCGTTTACTCAATACAGATTGAAAGAGAAGATAGCTGGTTTGTTTAACAGATGCCCAAGTTTCAGTTGTGGTGATGTTTCATGGCAGCTCACAGGAAACAGTAACTGATCACACAGTAACAGCTCCCACACCTGACCCAGCTGTTAAATCACAGAACAGCTCTGCACAAACACTACAGATCTCTGTAGTGACTGCTGAACAGCCTTTAAAAAAACACAAGGCATACAAAATAAACATTCATATTTTTATATAAAAATATATAAATATTATAAAATTATCTCACATAATATATATAATATAAATCATTATATATATATAAAATATACTATGTCATGCCTACTAATTAGCAGGACAACTAACTGTACATGAAAATGAGTATTTTAATATTTAAAAAAAAAAGTGACAATGTTACAGAATATAAAGGAGGACTACACCTCTTGCCCCCTCTACAGCCACCTCCTTTACAGCAATCTTACTTCTGCAAGAGGAGTACACATTGTGCATCTTCCACTGCTGGAGGATGTGTATGATGGTAGCTCAAAACATCCTCATTTGTTCAGCTATGGGAATTACCACAGGCCCCACAGAATGGATTTGGCCCCATCATTCACCTAATTAAAAATCCATACGAACAAAAACCCGTGTTACGGAGGAATGGGAAAGATGGGTAAATTGTGGAAGATAAATATGGACAACACAACTCGAAAACCGTACCATAACTTCTACTTTGATTTATTCTTTGGGGTTTTTTTTCACTGGCAGTAATTCCCAGTCACAACAAATCTGCAAAAAGGGAGTATGATGTGTTAGGAAAAGGGGAAAGGAAAAAAAAGGGAAGTTGGTAGTCAGCTCATGCCAATTTGTGTAGTAAATGCCTCACAAAGGAGAGAATTGACTATCGACCTCTTCAGTTGCCTTTGATGCCTCAGCCCAAATCAGGCAATTGTGTAAAGCAGGTAAAGAGGGGGTGATCTTTGACACAAACCCAAACGAAAGTTCAAGCTCATAACTCTGGGTGCACAGTAACAGTGCTGCAGATATAAAAATGAAATAAATGATTTTGACACGGGGACAAACATGACAGGAAAGCTGAGGGGCTTTTAGATGCTCTTCCTGTGCTCATAATTTAAAACCATGAACAGCCATTTCAATAGATAATTTTTAAACAATGGAGATTTATGTTCAAATATAACAACATAAATCAACACTGACAATAAGTCCTGGACAAACTAAAAACAGTTTGTTTAAGGAAGGATGAAAAAAACCCACATCAAAAAGCTCAGTGATCATAAATGTTATCCTTCTCATCACCTGCATGTGTTGAAACACGGCAAAACCTGATATTGGCCAGAGCACAGAGTCAAAATCAGGACTTTCAGTTCCTGGCTCTGCCAGTTATTTGGGGCAAAATCACTTTGGATTCTCAGTTTGTTTCAGTTAGTTTGTCTGTAAAAGAGGAATATGAATACCAGCCTCAAGAAGCACACTGTTGTTCCATGGACTAAAAATACTCTTGGTACAAATATAAGCATTCCATAAAGCTTGCAGTTTCCATATTCTCTACCCTGGCAGTGCTTAGCCCACTTGAGTAGAATGGAAGCTAATCTAACATATCAAAAGGATCCAAATGTTTACTGTTGTATTCAAAACAATTTGCCTCAGAATTTCTCCAATTTAATTAAAACAGTAGTTCGGTGTTTTCCATCAAGTAATACTACACATATAAAACATTCACCCAGCTTTCCATAGGACAGCTAAACCACACGGGTATTTATGCTCTTCCTATCTGTCCTGATAATTCACTTGTGCCAGACAGAATGAACATAGGAGGCAGCAAAAGAATTTCCTACTTGTAAGGGAGGATTTAGGGACTGACAGCTTAAAAAAGATCCCAGAAGAAAATTATAAAAACAGTTCTGAACTGCTGAAGTCCTCAATCTAACAGCTAAAAAGAACATTGAGGTGTAAACTGTAATAACCAACAGGAAATTGGTTAACTTTTGCAAAGGACACTGAATACTTCCAATAGACTAAAAGAACTTGAAAAACTCCAAACAGTTCCCTCCCAACTTATGTATGAAGAGCTATCTGTGACATTATATTATCTAGATTGCTTGTTTCTGAAAAAAGAAAAGCATGTGCTGTCCTGATCACTTATCAGTTACTATCCTTTACACCACAGAAGCTTAAAGAAGAAAGCAAGTTTATTCTAATAAAAGAAAGGATGCAGTTATTGATTGTGAAGTTGGAAAAAGATTTGCAAAACAAAAAGAGTAAAAAACAGAATATAAATATAGCTGAGACTGCTCTTTTATCACACAGTTTTCCTGCATGGAAATGAAGAGGCAGACTCAACAGGACCCTTCTCTAGAAAAATCCAGTTCATTTCAGAAATAAAGTAGATTTCTCTCTCCAACTTAATAATAATGGCCAGTCTTCGCGAGCGAAGATCTGGGGAAGGTCTTTACACCTTCCAGCCTGCGCATTGGATTTTTTAGGTGAGACACAGTGTGCGCGGAACTGAGCCCACCCTTTAATCCTAAGGTTCATCTGCCGGGGCCAAGCGAGCTTGGACGGTGGCAGCGAGGTCCTCAGGACGTAGGTGGGTTGCCTTTAAGGGCTAACGAGCCCCACCTGCCCGGGAGTGGCCCTGACCGGGAATCAAACCCGGGCCTCGGCGGTGACAGTGCGGCGCCCTTACCACTAGACCACCAGGGGCTCCAACTTACAGTCCAAGTTATTGGTTCGGGTATATTTGGTGAGAAAAGGAAGGAAAAGAAGTGAGAAGGAGGTTGCTGCTGAATGCAAAGAACAGCTTCCTCCTCAGCTCCTTGATGAGTCACTGGCTGTGGGTTATCCCTTTGACCTCTGTGAGAAAGCTCTTGCAACACCTCTGCATACCAAAGATCACAGCACTTCTCTCCTGTATTGGTTAAGGCTATCCCTGGAAGCCTGCAAGTGTGAGCTTTTGGATCATCCAGGACACAATGCACTGCTAATTTAAAGGGTCACTCCCTATCCAGTTTTATGCAGACATTCAGTCAGTTACCATCTGTTGTATATCATTAACTGGCACCACTTGCTGTAGGCAACGCGCTGCCCCTGCCCAAGACAGTGTAAACTAAGATTTGCACATGAACCCAGTCTATGAGCCAGTCCTGCATTCAGATCTATGTTGTGCCCACACAGACACCTGGTAAGTCCAAAAAGACTTCCAAGTTGTCCAACTGGATCAACCTACATAGACTGTTATGTCTACATATTACTTGCAGACAACACTGCATGACACTGTACAAACACCACAGAATCATACAATGCTTTGGGTTGGAAGAGACCTTAAAGATCATCTCACTCTTCCAACACCCCTGCCATGACCAGGTTGCTCAGAGCCCCATCCAGCCTGGCCTTGGACACTTCCAGGGATGGGGCATCCACAGATTCTCTGGGTAATCTCCTCCTCCAGAGTCTAATCACCTCTACAATAAACAATTAATTCTTAAGAAAATCTATTCCAAAATCTACCCTCTTTCACTTTAAAGCCATTACATGCACATACTCAAACAAGTGTAAGTGTGTATGAACACGTTTCCAAGTCTGACTGTGTGCTGCATGGATAACATCTGCCAAAAAATGCAATTCAATGAATGGTTTTCCCATTTGGTCTAAAGTATAAAATTATACTCACATGTATTGTACACACAAATGTGGAGAAAGGTTATAAAAGCATAAAGAAAGAACTGTGAAGCTTCCGTTAATTTTTTTTTTTAAGTTTTGATTTTT